CATATTGTAATAAACCACAAGTAAAGACATAATTGAATTACCACAAAGCTACCAGTGGGAGTATTAACTACCTGCAACATAATCAGTCTGTTAGGAACAAGTTTTATTATTAATGCCTCAAAGGATCCTGCAAATATACACACAGAAATCAGATGCAGTATTTCAGACCCAGAGACACAAAAACTCTTTCATTTCTTTGTACTTATATCCTCTTACTGATTTAATTTAGACCTTATGCAAATGTGTCACTGCATCTTCTGTAAAAATTACAGATTCTTAATTTCCTTTTCCAAGCGATATCGACACAGACATAGCCTAGCTACATTAATTTTTATTAGGTTACTCTTTATCTACGTGGAATTTAAGATGCAGCTATAGATGCAAGTATGATGCAAATTGCATAAACATGCTATATTCACCAATATCATATTTCTTTAACTTTTTTTTTAATCGTTTTCACTTATCCAAGCTTCCAACCGCTATAGACAATCTCGTTAAACGATTTAGTGTAAGTAGGCTAGGCCACGGAAATACTTTTAAGTTAATAATTTAGCTGACTCTAAATTAGTTTTAAACAGGCATCACTAAAAATCTTTTTAAATAGATTAACGTTAATCGATTCATAATCATTGAGAGAGAGAGAGAGAGAGAGAGAGAGAGAGAGAGAGAGAGAGAGAGAGAGAGAGAGAGAGAGAGAGAGAGAGAGAGAGAGAGAGAGAGAGAGTCCAATCTAGAAGATAACCTTAGTTGTTTAATTGATGAGATGGGACGCATTGATTGCTCGATTAGTCGATTAGTCGAGTTTTGATTGGTGGGTGGTGCAATGAAAAGGTACGCCAATCTTTACAGAGTATCATCTTGTTTTGTTTTTTTCGTAGGGCAAATTCAAATGCCACTTCATCAAAAACTGTGAAGCTACTGATGCAAAACTGCTCATAAAGAATAAGATAGCTTACATAGGCTTATTTAATAAGAAACTTTCATGAAAAAAATCATGCAAGCTTAAAAATTGTCATGTTCATGTTCATTTAAACTTACGTCACATATTCAACCTGTTCTGCAACTGAACATCAACAATGATCTTGATGAAAATGTCTAGTGAGTTGTATTACGAGGTGTGTTTATGATTGACGTATATGATGTGGGGTTGGGGGCAGCGCTACTGTCATTTCCACCGCCCGGCTCGTGTTTACGCAAGGCGCAGCACTGTATATAAAGCACTTGAGGTGCAGGCAGGACAGATCAGTGAGTGTAACATCTTATTGCTGAGAGACCTCACAAAGATTCGGGAGACCCAAAAAGAACATTGGAACAAGAAACTTCAGGGTTCCAGTCCAGAGAAATAAGTGTACCTAAACTCGTTAACTGCTGAAAGTAAGTTTTTATTGTGATTATCATTCTGCATGTGGAGGCGCCAAATCAGGAGTTACGTTACGTGATAAATTGGACTTGAAGTGCTGTGGAAAATCGAGGCATTATTTTCATTGTTTTCATTAGCCTAATGTTAAATTCATTCTGAGTTTGCTATGCCGTATACAAAATATGTTTTCAGTAGCCTATGTCATTTTTGTTAGTACGTGCGCATTCAGCACCATGGACAGCAGACACAAACAATTAGTCAAGTTCATTCATAGCCTACTTTATCTGCTAGGAAAAAGGCGTGATAGACTAGATAAAAAAATCATAATTATTATTATTCAATCGCTTCACAAAAGTTTTTTTTTTTTAATCTTATGCTATATGCAAATTATGGTAATTAATTGCTTCATGTAGCTAGTTCAAACCGTCTTGATCTCAGTTGTTTTCGGGGTTTTTTTACATTTCGATTGATTCAATTGATAATTCTGACAAATAATTCCCAATATTAAAGAGATATTTTGTAGGTTTTTGCAATCGTGTATAGGCTATTTTACGTTTTCCCACCTGTTGTCGCTCTCTCACTTAGATCCATTCAGACGTTTTATAAAACTCGTTCCACATGTGCAAGGAAGTAAAAAGCGAGTTGTATTTTTCAGATGGCTGTCATTCTGAAGCCCTGGACCGTCATCGCTACTCTTCTCTTCTGCGTGCTCCTGTGTCTCGGGACGCTCGTGGACGCCTATCCGCCGAAACCAGAGAATCCTGGAGACGACGCTGCTCCGGAGGAACTCGCCAAATATTACACCGCGCTGAGACACTACATCAACCTCATCACGAGACAACGGTAAGAAAGACACGCGGTGTATCATAAATGCACCTGTAGTCATTATGTTTGCTTAAAATGCTCTTATTATCATCCGACCAGGTGACCATGTCCATGATAAAAAAAATAATAATAATAATAATTTCCCCTTAGTGTCAGTGCACTGTCTCCCATTCAGGACAAATGACTCAATTCTGCAATAGGATTCTGAAATTGCATTATGGTCCACTTTTCAGTAGCCAAAGGCTCTTCATATAACAAATCAGAGTGATAAAACCCAACAGATGTACCTCGGAGAAGCCTCCGAGATTGAATAGGGTTCTCATCTGTCATAGATTGATGATTCTCTGCAGCCCTGTCCTATAGAGGACTCCATAGTCTAACAGGCTTTTGACATTTAGAGCTATAAGCAAAACATTCCAATAAAAGCATATTTTCTCTCCCCACAATACACATTGATTCCATGGCCTCATACTCTGTTAGTCCCCCAAAGAACCCAAAGTCTTGCCTGTATAAGAGGTCAAAATGAAAATATTTGATGCGTATCTGAGATAGAACAAACAGACGTAATGGTTCAAGAAGCTAAACCATGAGTATGTCACAGTCGTGACTACATTAAATGAATGTTGGCCACTTCACAAAGTATTGCCGATGTCCGTAATAGGGGAGCAGGTGGGATTCTGTAGAGCTCATGTTTCAGAAATAGCTATAACATTAGTTTAGTCTCAGACTTATTGATGTTGCTTGTAGGCATCTATTGAGGAGGAATCTGAGCATGAAATTGTTTTTTTTTTATTTGAGCGTCAAACCAATGCCCTTTTAGCTTGTTTTCAGCATAGGCCGATTCATCTGGAAGATGCTGTTCTGAGGGAAATAATACTCAATTCTCTCAGGTCCATATTTCAACTCTTGCCACTCCATTTCCACTAAATGTTCCCTAAAATTGACATTCGTGTTTTTTTCTTAAGATCAGAGGCTTTATTCATGTCATCTGTGAGATAAATGTCAGAGTAATCTAGGTGACATGTCTCAAGCACATTCAGCTTTCAAGCAGTCAAAAAAAACATTGAACTGCTAAATTAGATTCATAACGTCTGGGGTGAAAAGACCGTTTGTATTTATATCGGTGATTGGTGTCTGACAGATAAAGTAGGCTGACTAGTTCTTTTCACTTTCTGACACTTTCACACACCACAATGAGCTCACTATGTGAGCAATTTGAGATCATTATTTCAGTACTGAAATGTTCCCAGCTAAGATACATGGATGGAATGAAGTAATGAGGGAATAAATTGTCATATTTCTTACATGCAGGTATGGGAAAAGGTCCACTTCGGAAGATGTGATGGCAGAGCTGCTGTTCGGGGATGATACAGAGCACAAACAGAGATCAAGGTGGGAGTCTTTTTTACTTTAGCTATAATTTTAATGTTAATTGCATGCTAATGGGCTTGTGAGAATACTTAAAACAATAAAGCAGATAGTTTCCTGATTCACATGGTATTCTAAAGGTATCTGGGGTGAATGCAGTTTTTTTTTTTTATTCCTCGAGAAATTCGTTCACATAGGGTGATAATGTGTTAATGGGAACGGGGACAACTCGTGAATTTTTCACACCTGTTGAGGAATAAGGGGACAGATGGATCCCTGGCTTCCTTTCTCCCTGTCCGTCAGGAAGGGAGTGGGTTAGGGAACATGACGCGCAGTGAATATTTGAAAGGCCTTGCAATTAACAGCCCTTATTAGGCCTCAAATAAAAAGTCCACTGTGCTAGCTAATTGAAAACTGTAATAGACTGACTAGGAGATGGACGACTTTAAGGTGAAATAGTATCAGTGTAAACATTCGGAAAAGGAAATGAACTATATTGATGTCACTAAAAAAAAAAGTTGATTGTTTATTTTCTTTTTTTCTCTTTCAGATATGATGACTCTTATATGTGGTGAAGTTCAGTGGCCGTCTGTTAACTGTCCTGAGCTAAGCCCACCTGTGCCTCCCACAGAAAACCTCCAGACAATTAAATGAGAACATTCAGACAACCTCATCCATCTCTTTATTATACATCATCTCTTTTTTCTTTGGTGCACATAGAACAAATCTAATTAACAACTGTACATAATATGTTATAATAGGAACTATTAATGGAAGTGTAAATGTGTATACTTCATTGTGTCATTCAGAAATTATGCTTTTTTGACCATGTAAATTATTCTCTGTGATTAAAAGTTTATTGGATGTATATGGCTATTTATTTTACTCTGGTGGTTTTTGAAAAGGCTGTAACATATGCTGTAAAGTTAGGTTTATTTTAAGTTATTATTATTTAATATGATTTAGTCTGATATAGGATATCTTTATAGGGTTATTTCTAAATGACCAGCAGATGTCCCTCCTGTAACATAAAATATATCAATAACCAATAACCTTTTAGGCAAAAAAAAAAAAAAAAAACCCTTCAATTGTTATTATTTATTTACTAATTATTTATAGACATTGCCAACATCTCATTCTACAAAAACAACTGTTCAGACCATTTTTGAACAGCAAAATGTAAACAAATGAAAGATAACACTTAGGGTCACTATGTGTGGTAATATTTATTTAATGGCGTGATGGTCTCGACTTATTTTAAACACATTTAGCAGAAGAAATGTTCGCTGTTGAACCTGCATGCACATTAGTCAACGGTTTGGCAATGTTATGTAAATGAATGGAGAACATTTAAAGCGGTCTGTCGAGAACATTCTATTGTTAACACGGCCCTATAGCTAAACATCAGCTGGTGGGTCCCACCTTCTGAGACATTTGAGCATTGCCCCTTTATGTCCACGCAACGACTAGACTCTGATTTGATGCTTTGTAGCGTGGTAGACACCTCATAGAATCAAAACAACGCAACGAAGCTATACGCGAAAGGTTAGTAGCCTATCTGTTTTTATGATACAAATAATTTCAGAATTTCGTGTTTTTCTTGTTGATGGAGCTGTCTCTAAACGGATATTCCATTTAGAGATGCAAACCATATAGTCGTTTCACCTACTGCATAGTGTTGTCGTCTTAGGAAATTATGAATTCATCTATTGTTTAAAGCGTCGGGAGTGTTTGTTTCTCAACTGGCATGCTATTATCTTATTCATCAAATTTAAGTGAAATGCGAATGCTAATTAGTGTAATTTAGGACTGCATCAGATATTCGCTTCTGTCAATATTGTTGGCGGTGAGTTGGGCTAAATTCTTGAACCTCCCTCTTTTCATTATTATCAGCACTGCACTTATATTACAGCTATTCACCCAATAACTGCAAGAGAACCCGTGATCAGAATGTAGAACTACACTTTCTAGAAGCTATACTTCATTAAGAATGTAAAGAAGATATAGGCTACAAAATAACTGAAACATTATTATGAAGAACATCTTGAGAGCTCTAAGAACTAGACATTATTATAGGCTATAGCAATTAGTTCTGGTCCTCTAATGTAATTGATCGAATTCCATGAAGGCGCATATTTATTATGACAGCTCCAGGACGTTTGTGCGAAATCGCACCCATGTCCATATATTACACTTTGTTTTTTAAATTTTAATTGGTCAGAGATTTTGTAATAGTATTCGAAACCATTGTGGAGTGGGTTGCCTAGTTCACTTATTTAATACTTAAATGTATTATCATAAAAACATGACATTTGGTGGTGCTTTTATTTTTTGTTTGGTGACTGAAAACTTATGTATGATACCATTACACTAGCAGATTTAAAGCATTAATGCCTATAGGAATATTATTTATGTGCTGTCAAAATCAGGTGATTAAAAGCAGAGCATAATCTGGCATAGTCTTAGCTTCTTGTTGTGGTTCCTTAAAGGGGACTCAGATGTATTTGTTTGTGCTGGAGACAGATGGGCCATGCCTTTTACTGGCTCAAAGGGAGCAGATGGAGAGCGTGGCTGCTTGTGATGTGGGCAGGGCCAGACCAGGGTGTCATTAGCATGGGGGGCTCAGCGGGGTCTGACGGAAGGATGGGAATGGAAGGAGGTGTGGGCCTTAAGAGTTGCCAATACATAATAAATTCACCATCCTCCCTTTTATAAAGGGCTAGATGAAGGCCCCTTTTGTGCTTTCTCTCAGGAGCTCTCACTCAAATGTCGAGATTGCATTCTATTCACACCTGGCTAAAATACACTGGTGCAGTCTGTTTAGTAATGAGATTGAAATGTGAGTTTGAGCATATCCCATGTTTGGCTGACAGCTCTCCATGGGAATTTGGGAATTGACATCATTAGACCCTTCAGCTAGTTTCGGGCTGTTGAACTTTTTTTTATTTGTGTGATTTATTTTATCTTTGTCTTGTTTTTGGAGTTTAGGAGTAATTTTCAGTATTATTGCAAATCTAATTAAATTAAAATATATTGATTAATTATTTAAATATATAATAATTATATATAGTAGTTATATATATATATTTATATATATATATATATTATATATATATAAGTATAAATAAATTTAAGTTATATACAGTAGTTATATATAAATACAGTAGTTATTAGTAGTAGTTACAGTAGTTATAAATATATAATTTTTTTTTACATTTTCGTAAATGTAGTAAATTTACTAAATTTGTTTTGCCATTTTTGTCAGTAGTATTTTTCTTACACAAAGTTATTTTTTTTTACACAAATGTATATATATTACTTAAAACAAGAACATGTTAATTGAAATACAATAAAATATTGGAAAAGAAAATTCAACTATGATTGAAATTTGTTTAAACAATTTTCATTTTTATTTACTTCAACTTTATACACTAAAATAACTAAAACTGAGAACAAAATAAAAATTAATACAAAATTAAAAAAAATTAATTTTTTACTACTGACAAAAAATACTAATAAATACTGACAAAAATGGCAAAACAAATTTAATAAACTTTAGCTAAAACGAAAATATAAAAAGACAATGAAAATAAAACAATTCCAATATTAATGAAAACTATAATAGTATTTCAGATACTAAAATAACACTGATTTGGACCCTTGGAAAGAACTATCATTAATTGTTTGCATATTATTCAGACATTTTACGTGATATGTTTAGAATATATATTGGGGCCGCTGTGTATTTTTTATTTGATTATTTTTGAGTTTTGACATGATATTTTGCTTTGCTTTGTTGCTAATATGTTGCTAACTGTGGTGTTTAATATTTAAAGTTTTAGAGGAACAATTTATGTCCTGTTATTCTCAAGCTGTGTGCCTGTAGGTTAACAATAAAACCGGTTTGTTTTGTGTGGGTTAATAAAAGCGAGAAGATTGAGCCCTGAGGTGCTCTGTGATTAAAGATGGTGGACAATCAGAAATCAGAAGCGCTTGAGGCGTTCACAACACCTATATATTCAAAAAAAGCACAGCCAACACCCCTTAATAAAGACCTGTTTTTAACAAAGGAGCTGAGTGAGACACTAGACTCCATTTAAATAAGTGTCTGTGTTTGCCTGAACTGAAATGAACTGAACTGACACTTTATCGCAGTATAGCAGCATTGCTCTGTGCCTTGCATGCTTGTGAATAAGCTAGAGTGTCAGAACGAAACCGAGGTGTGTGTGAAAGTTGAAGTCTGACCTCTCCATCCCACCATGACTGATCTCTGCTACATAAACAACAGATTCACTCTAGCATCACATAACCACATGATTAAAGATCCTATATGCTTTATTTTTTCTTCTTTAGATTATTAAAATAATTAGACTATGTAGACTATTGCAATTATTAGAACCAAAATGTGGAAATTTTTCATAATTTCCTTTGCTTAAAAAATATTTTATTTCATGGCCCAGCAAAATCAATGTATTTTTAAAAAAGTGGATAGAATAAGTCATGAGTCTGAGTCATTCCAGGAATTTCAATTTACATATTTATATTTATGCATTTAGCAGATACACACACACACACACACATGCATACATGCATTATTAACATTGTGCAATGTCAAGTTAATTAGAAAGCTAAACTAGGAAACAAGCTAGAGCAGAGGTGAAAAGCAAAATTTGAATTTATTATTATTATTTTTTATTTTATTTAAATTCCTAAAAGCAGAGTATCAAAAGCAGGCTTATTTGACCTTGTTTGACCTCTACCTTATATACATAAAGAGTACTGACTCAGGACTGTTCTCTTTTATCTCTGTCCTGTCATCATTTATTCACTCTCATCAAGTAAGATGTTTCGACTTCCAGGAATTCAGCTTCAATTCTGTGCAGCTGGTATGTTAGACAGCTTCTTTCCCCTTTAGGGAAGTAGGCTAGCTACTCAGCTCTTAGCCTACGTAACATGTGGGGGGTGGGAAAAATTTGCTATAGCAACCACCTCCGTCATACAGTGTAGCTATGTGAAAATGATTGCATGGGATTTTTGAGGAACACTTTTTCTTTCCCATAATTTGTGTTGAAATCCTCATAAAGTTAGAAGAACGGTGCAGTCTTTGACCATAAGTAGTGAATGCAGTGTATTCGTCTCTACGTAAACACGCTAATTTATTGCCCTCTATGTGCTGTATCAGTACACTCATTACAGTACATCCTGTTTTGTAATATGATTGACAGTGCAGCTCCTGTTCATTAGAAACACAACAGATGTCTAGAACAAGAAAATAATTGTTTGCTTAAAAGTTTGATGAGGCGTGATGATCTCTCTCTCTCTCTCTTTGAAAATGTAAAAATGCCGAAAGTTTTATGTGAGAGTTGTGTTTACGGGTAGGGATAGGATTAGGAGAGTGTGTGCATGCACGTGTGTGTATGAGTGAGAGAGAGAGAGAGCAAATGAGAAGGAGAGAGAAGATCAGGTGTCTGGTCTTAACCTCCTCTGATCCTTTAGGTCTCTGAAGGATTATTGTACTTGCTTACTGAGAAACACATAGTTTCAGAGCAGGAACATTTGGAGATCTATCTATCTAAACAGATGGACATGAAATATTGATTTGGTAGAAATAATTTTATTATATGGAAAGAAATAGACTGGAGTTAATCTGTTGTCTGGAACAACAGTCGGTCATCCAGTTTAGTTCATTATAGAAATATTTGACAGTAGAATGCAGCGATTGACCAAGTATTCCAGAAAGCTGTATCATAAATACATGTAAAACCTTTCAGTCTTACTCTCTCAGCACTTCTGTCACTCCCACCGTCCTTCCCATCTCTCTCGCCTCCTGCGACTGGTGCACCTGCTCCCTGTCATTGTTTCATTCTGAGGACACGGCTGAAAAGCACCCCCCTAAAAACAATTTATTCTCTCCCTCCCACCTCTTAACACACACACACACACACACACACACACACACACAAAGACTGCATGCATGTCTCATTTTATTGTATATATCGCCATAGCGACCAAAGCTTGCTGGTAAATGCCCCACTCTTTTACATTTATTTTTATCCCCATATTCTTTGTTTAAACTTTACCCTCTAGCCATATTAAAGTTAAATCTCTCTCTCTCTCTCTCTGATGCTTTAGTTGCAGATTTCAAACATCATGCCTGTGGCAGCTACCGGCACAGAGCATGGTAAGTATCATCATCATCCAAGAGTGTTTTTGGCCCTGTGGACTTTTATAAAATAACTCTTAAACTGTTCACACTGTCTCTAGTTTATTTGATGCGTCTAGTAACAATGTCCAAAAGTAAACATACGTGCATCACAAAATGTAAATGCATGATGAAATGCTTCCAGTGCTGTTTTAATCTGTTGTTTTAACATTGTTTACAAATGTTGTTTTACTGTAATGTGATGTAGCAAAATTCTGTTAAAAAATTGTTTAGGTTATTTTTAATGAAAATAAATACCCCTCCAAAAGATTTTTAATTTTTTTTTGAAATGATGTAAAAACGTACAGTTTATATTTTTTTTCTTTGCAATTCTTTGGACCACAATGCAGATGGTTTAGCGTCAATACAGCACACTATAGTAGTGACATTGGCCGGGGAAAAAAAATGAAATGTCCAATAAAAGGAACAGGCTCTCTGTTGAAAGTTATTAAACAATATCGCATGCTGAATTTCAAATAAAGCGCACGCCTAAAACGGCTGTAATATAGGGCTAGCCCTAAACAACGAACGATTGAGTGAGACGTTTTAAATATGGCCAGGCCAAGGCAGGCTTTTTTCAGAGGCCAGGCGCGATGGATGATGGTGAATCAGGAAGATCTCATTATAGATCATGTGGTTCTAATCCGCACACTCGTACGTAGGCTACAGGTTTTTTTTCTTTCATCAATAGAAAATAGCCTAGCCTATTTATGAATTAGCAATTAAAGCTATGGTATAGAATGTTAAAAATCGGTCGAGACGGTAGGTAAGTTTTAAAAAAACTCATCCCGCCCCTCCACACACACCCCCCTCCCCTCTGTGCTACCTGATCCCTGACGTATGTCACGTTTGAGTTCACGTCGTCAACGCAAGATTAGCAACACATGAAATGTTCTAAACCCCCCACCACCATTATAATACTACTTGTATTGCTAATAAGGTTTTCAGTAATTGTTATTGCAGCACGCAGCGCATCTTGTTCAAATTCCGATCGGCTCGAACAGAAACCTCGAACAAGAAATATAATTACTTTGACCCGTGATAGGCGATGCTAAACGGCTAACATTCCAATGCCGACCGGCAGCATGAGCAAGTTGTCAAACTGATAAAAAGCCACGTAACACGTCACACCATAAAAGAATAAATAAATGTTTACCTCAACAAAAAGTCATCTGTGTCAGCGTCGTTTTCAGCCCCAGATCTCCCTGAAGCTTTCTCCAATGGTCAAGGACGGTATCCACAAGTTTCCGAGGGGCGCTCCTGTAAAAAATAAAGTGGGTGAAACTTCCGGTGACGCGGCGGAAGTAGCATTCCAATGGTATTTTGTGTGTTTTTCGGAGAATTATTTTACTATTTAAAGACGCAAATCTTTATGAGAGATGTCGTTACGGAGCTCAGGGACAACAGTTCGCGGTTGTATAACCGGACTAAACTAATTTAGTGGCTTAAACGACATTGTTTTGAATATAAGCTGAAAACGAAATCAGAGTGATACGCCAGAGCCCGTCTCTGATCCTGCCAACGACTGTAGTTTCCATCACCTCCCAAAAGACGACGAATCTTCCTGTGTACATTTGTTTAAATTCTTAATATTCTATAAACTCTATCAGCATGTGATTGGCTGTTCGCTACTGATGTTACACCTAAACTCAGGATCAAAGCCTGAGTTGACAGAATACCAAATGTGCCAGTTAATGTATTCAAGCAGCACATTCATTTATAATTTTGAATAAACTCCAAAGCACAATGACTAAGTGTGTATTTTTTATTTTAATTGTTTGTCAGCTCGCACAACTGTCTGTCACCATGCCTTGATGAGTATTGATTATTAATAATGTTATTATAATACTCCCAATCAACTACTGCGGAGGGTAAAGGTACTGTTATTTCACCCTTTTGAATTTCGTTGAGGTTGTGTTCCCACATCGTTAGCTTGTTTGGATCGCTATAACTTGAATGACTGTCAACTGTTGAATGAACGAGTGTCAAGCATGTCAAATCGCGCTTTGTTTACTTCCAACCGGAAGTCGCGCCCACTTTTGACGCAAGGCCTCATGGGGCGTAGGAAACTTGTAGTTTATCCTACTTAGAGTCCGGCGTTCTTCACATTTCTTTTTAATCTCTGATCTTTCCTCCACAGACTTTCTCTTGCGTCCAAACTTTACAGTAGAGGCAAGCAGGGGCCGCTTGCTGTTGTCGTTTATATTTTTATCCATTGCTTTATCCATTGCTGATCTGACACTACTAGCTACCATAGACAGTCTGTCAGCTGTTTGCTCACGCACGGAGGGGGGCGGGGGCGGGTGCGGTTGGGTTGGAGACGCAAGTGCCAGGCAGAGTTTCAAGTGGAGCTGGTGATTGGATGAGAGCAGTTGACCAATATAAGCTGTGCGGCCGCACAGCTTACATTGGTCAACTTTTCTGCGGCTGTACAGCCAATAGAGTGAATGGATTTTTTTCGTTCTTTTTTCTATTCATATTGTTAGGATTGTACTATATAACCATAACCAGCATCTAAACGAGGATATTAATAATGAACAATCTTTGAAATCGTATACCCTAGCTTTAATAAACTACTAATAAACGTCACCTGTGACTGTGGTTACAGCTTATATCACGCAGGGACACGTTTGTGTGCATTTTATTTTGTGATTTCACTGGAATGAATAGAGAGTCCTCGCAATGGCGATAGATTGAAACCCGCTTCCGAGTGAAGTAGTGCAACTCGCACAGCGCTTCGTCCATGCAACTGATAGCAGTGGACACAAGCGCTCAGCTTCATTTCAAAAACAAGATTTTAGTGCTAGATCTCTTATTTATTAGCAAACTAAATTAATAATCTGATAGTTAACTGGAGATGTTTTATTTATTTGTAAGTTCATCCGTGCCTCAATGTTTCAAAAAGTGAATGTCTGTGAAACCAAACAAATTGTGTTGATTGACACCAATTGGACGTTCATGTTTTTTTTCCGTCTATTTGAAAGTTAGGCTAATAAACGTTGCAGCCTGATTTTGTCATTTTTTAAGTTAGACTGTTTCCAGTTTTCCAGGCAATATTTGACCAGCATATCATCAAAATGTCCGTAAAACGAAACCTCTGCCGTCACTTTGACCGGCACCATTTTTTTCTAGCAGAAATTCTGCAACAGGCATAACAGTTGATAGCTGAATACATTAATAAATAACATTGACATTGAACACAATATTGATGTAATGAAGACAAAGTTCCAGTGAAATATCTTCACATTCACAATCCATGATGTCTTTATACGTCCTTCATTATGTGTAGATTCCGAGTGAATATTCCTCTTGTAGATGATGTGGTTATGATACGTGACAGCATCTGAAATACACAATTGAGTTTAGAGTTAAAGTTTGTATCTTCCAATTGATTGTGTAAAAATAATTATGTTTATGACGGCCAAAGTTAGCAAAAACTCACTTTTGATATGACTTAATATCACATAAAATGAAGTCATATCAAAAGTGATATAAAGTCATGGTATAGCTTTAATGTTTTTGGGTGTTTAGGTATAAAGTAATAGGCTAATTAAGTTGAATCATCATAAATTCAATATCTCTGTGACTTTGTGTAAAAGAGAAGATGAGTAGGCTATATCCTTAACTGAACAGAGCTGCTCACACTTACATGTTCTGTTAAATGTAAAAGAGAAAAATAAATGATTGGAAACCAGTTGCAATATTTAAAAACAAAAGTAACAAATGTATAGACATTTTAAGAAAGAAGTAATTTACCTGTTGAGAGTGTGTTGACAGTCTTAGTTGTACAGCTGAGCTCCAGAAAATCAGTAATGAGGAGGCTTTGACAGTTACAGATTTAAAAAAAAAAAAAAAAAGGTGGGAACCCTGGTTCAAGAACCCTGAACTCTAACACAAAGAAGAACCATTTCAGATGATAATTTCTCTAACCCTTCCCCCCAGCAGTGCCGCAGATGCTGGACACACTGAGTGACAGCACCAGCTCTGCCACTGCCACTGCCAATGACCTGGACCTCATCTTCCTCAAGGGCATCATGGAGAGCCCTATGGTTAGTTCTGCATAGCACACAGTTGGGAAATTCCAGACCCAAACATGCCTAAAAAACCTTTTGTTTTTGGTTTTGTAACATTTTCTTTTTTCTTATCATTACTATGTATAATGCTTTGCCAGTATTGTATGTAAATAAGTATTTTAAATTGATATTCGAAATAGCAAACTAATAGCCGATGATTAATATGAACCTAAATGATGTCCCAGAGTGCAGAGAGTCTGGAGGAGACACGGCTGGAGGCCGTGAGGGACAATAATGTGGAGCTGGTGCAGGACATCCTGAGAGAGTTGAGCCCCTTTACACACCGCAGCAACACCGCCGCAGAGCTGTCACTCATTCTCAACCAGCCGCACTTCCAGGTACACAGCCGCAGCTCAACAAATCTGTTAAATGAAACTAGACTAGAGTAATACACAGTCTGATTTATGGCTGACACGCTATGCTTGTGATGATCAGTCTCTGTTGGAGACCCATGACTCTGTGGCCTCTCAGACGTGTGAGACTCCGCCCCCGAGCCCCTGCGCTTTCATGGAGACGCCCATCAACAGCGTACCCGTGCCAGCTGATGCCATCCGGATGGTGGGCATCCGCAAAGTGGCTGGAGAGCACTTGGTGAGACTGCATTCAGTGTATAATTTGTATGAGATTAATGCACATTATGTATTGAAAATAGATTTCATATAAAATTTCCATAGTAGTAATTATGTTGTATATGAATGCATATATATTAAACAAATATATTTGCATTTAATAGTAATATTTTATAAAATTATAATGATATTGATAACATATATTATGATATGTATATAATGATAACATATATTATTTTCGATGTTAATATTATATTTCTGATCAGAGCATAACAATAGGATTAAATTAGATTCAGTTATGCTTGCTCTAAAAATTCGAAATTATTAATATTTTGTTCAAACATTTTTTACTCTATTCTACAGTGAATATACAATTTTTGCTGGTGTGCTATGCTCTAAAATAGTAAATATAAAAACTGGAATTCAAAATGTACTTGCAGTGTTTTGACCACTAGTTTCTGACTTCATGTCAGGGTGTGACGTTCCGTATTGAGAACGGAGAGCTGGTGATTGCACGTATTCTCCACGGGGGGATGATCGACCAGCAGGGTCTGCTCCACGTGGGTGACATCATCAAAGAGGTGAACGGGAGAGAGGTGGGCGACGACCCTCGTGTGCTGCAGGAGATGCTACAGGAGACCAGCGGCAGTGTGGTGCTCAAAATCCTTCCCAGCTACCAGGAGCCACATCCCCCGAGACAGGTACCATCCGCTCCCCCTAAAAACAGAACGGGACATTGAGTGAGTCCCTTGAGCCGCTCTCTGTTAAAGCCAGATCATGTGTTTACTATGAGATCAGACAGGATCGTGAGCTGGAAGGTAGAAGCAGGTTATAGACAGTCTTCCAGCAGCGTTGTACTATCCGCCTCCTGATCTTAACATCTATCCACACTACATTTATATGTTTGTTTGATGGGGTGTTTCTTTTTAACTTTCAGATAATCTGGGCATTTTAGGTTAAAGGCTTTAGAATAACTTGAAAAACTGACCTCATTTCCTATATATATTTTTGAATACTTTTCAATTTTCTAATAAAATAGTCACTTTAATGTAAACTATTTGACTCTGGATCACTCTCATCCTTGTCTTTACAGGTTTTTGTAAAGTGCCATTTTGATTATGACCCTGCCAATGACAACCTCATCCCTTGCAAGGAGGCGGGACTGATGTTCTTAAGTGGAGACATTCTGCAGATTGTGAACCAGGAAGATGTGAACTGGTGGCAGGTTGGTTGGTCATCTTAGACTCTGGAAACTCATTCATTCCCATTTACACCTGGTATTTTAAGTCATCTCTTTTGTCCATTTCAACCACTTTTGTCCTGATTTTTTTCGAAGGGAGCATCTATGGGCGGGTGTTGGGATTTTTTCAGATCTTACGATCTAAAAGATGAAAAAAGCTCATGCTATTTACATATAAACATGACCAGAGAAAACAGAAAACTTACAGAGAGCAGCAGCTTTTTTTCTGCTCTGATAGTCTTAAGTGCATGTTATAAATCAGAAATGATTAGAGAACATTGTGCTTGGTATGTTTTTCATCTTCAAACCAAATTTGGGTCTCCAACCAAAGTTTAAATCCTGTCTGGCTAGCGCGCTTCAAATAATGTTTATGCAGTAGGAGGAGAGTATGTGATATTTTGTGGCTGTTGAACTGCATTCGACCTCATGAGCGTACGTCATACACTACGAAAGCAATCCCGTCAAATGAGTTTTCGACTACGTCTGGAAGTGGTGGAAAGTGGACGAGCTTAAAAAGTTTGAGACCCTTTTTGCATCTGTATTTAGCATTGTGTGTTCAGATCAACCAAACACATCTTAAAACCAAGTGTAAACAGGGCCTTAGAAGCGCTACAATATTTTTGTGCAAAAATTACATGCCAGACTTTTAAAGGACCTAAAGTCGCATCTGCTTTTTATTTAAAATGTATGATATCTCTTTAAAATTTCATTTGAGGGAATTTCTAACAAATACACATAAAACTTTGCTTGCTTACGATATACAGTAGAACAATGATACAACAACATTACCCTCTGAAAGCTGTATATTAGAGTCATATATCTTTGCAGGCACGTCGTGTAGAGGGAGGCAGTGCTGGCCTGATTCCCAGTCAACTCCTGGAGGAGAAGAGGAAAGCTTTTGTGAAGAGAGATGTTGAGCTGTCACCAGCAGGTAGAGAAATATATGGATTATTGAATCATTTCAGAAATAATTCTGAAGGATCATGACACTAAAGACTGACATAATGGCTGCTAAAAGTTCGGCTTTGACATCACAAGTATAAATTACATTTTACACTATATTTAAATAGAAAACAGTTATTTTAAATTGTAAAAATATTGCACAGTTTTTACCGTTTCCCTATATTACTATATTTTTGATTAATAAAATGATCTTAATTGCTTTACTAAATTAACTTCTGACTTGGTAGTCATAGTTTTCTCTCTTCTCTTACATTATATATTATTATTACAAAATTACAATTTATTCCTGTGATGTCAACGATGTATTTTCAGCATTACTCCTGTCTTCAGTGTCACATGATCCTTCAGAAATCACTTGTTTTTCTGCTGCTCAAGAAACATTATAAATGTATTTTCTGTCAACTTTGACTAATTTAATACGTCCTTGCTGAATAAAAATATAAATTTCTTCCAACTGTTTTTAAATCTACCCTACTAATGGTTGATTTGTGTATACTGCCCCCTGGTGGATTTAATAGGAGCCATTTCTATGTCAAATCATTTTGTCTCATCACTTTAGTTAAGATTCGATAATGCTGTTGTAAATGTTTTTATCTAAAAATAATATCACTGTGTATTGCAGCCAATCTCTGCACTGGAATGGTTGGCAAGAAGAAGAAGAAAATGATGTACCTGACTACAAAAAATGCAGGTAAGGTTTTCTTTTTCTTCAAAAGCACATCTTGTGTCTTTTGAAACTCAACACTCAACAAACTTGGTATTGGTATGCGATTAATTGTTGATCTTTTACTCCCTGGAAGATTTTGACAGGCATGAGATACTGATCTATGAGGAGGTTGCAAAAGTCCCCCCGTTCCGCAGGAAGACTCTGATTCTGATGGGCGCACCTGGAGTGGGCCGACGAAGCCTGAAGAATAAGCTGCTAGTGTCAGACCCTCAGCACTACGGCACCACCATCCCCTGTGAGTCTTCTCGGGGTATATCGGGTGCAATTCTCAGGGTTCAGACCAGGGCCATGCACAGGGTTTTAAAAAGGTCCCAAAATGAATCTTGCGGTACAAAAGCTGTCACTGGGGCTGTACCTTTTCAAAAGGTAACCTTTTGTACCCAAAGGCTGTATATTGGTACCTTAGTGGTACATATTAGCCTAAAATGTACATATTAACACCTAAAATGTACATATTACCACCTAAAATGGACATATTAGCTCATGAAATTGACATATTAGCACGTAAAATGTACATATTAACACTTAAAATGTACATATTAGGACCTAAAATGGACATATTAGCTCCTGAAATGGACATATTAGCACCTAAAATGTACATATTAACACTTAAAATATACATATTGCCACCTAAAATGTACATATTAATACCTAAAATGTACTTATTAGCTCCTAAAATGTACATATTAGCACCTAAATTTTACATATTACTTAAAATGTACTTATTAGCACCTAAAATGGACAAAAGTTTACCTTTTGAAAAGGTACAGCCATAGTGATGGCTTTTGTACCTTTTTTTCGGAGTGTAGGGGAGTTTGGAGGCATGCATGTTAAGAATTAAAAAAATATTATAATAACAGTTATGCCTAATGTGATAAAAACTGATTTGTTAATGTTTCGTCTCGTCACATATCCAGTCACGAATTACATTACTTGAATCCTGTAAATTATTAGGCCTATTTTCAATTCAAACTGGTGAAATTAGACACAAGTTTATTAGTTAACATCTCTGTCATTCTACCTTAAACCAGTTTCAAATATGAAATGTTTCGTTTAGCTACTCACATCTTATCTCGCACTTTACGACTGTTAACTGAAGCGTCGGTCTGAAATTCTTGCTCAGTTGCTCCTGTGAACATAAAGCCTGCCCGTCTACTTTCATTTGTACTGGCAAGTATTCGAGACAACTGTACGATAAGCTGCTGTTTGAATGGGACATCCTGTGTGAATGTAGTATTCCCATTAGTTTAGTGTGAGAATTTGTTCTTTGGAGAAATTGTGCCGCCAATCTGTTAATAAACAGAAAATTAAGAATGATCTAATGTCCACTGGGCTGTTCTTGTATCAATGTCCGCAGACACCTCTAGGAAGCTCAAACCAGCAGACAGAGAGAATATGATGTACGCCTTCACATCCCGGAGTAAGATGGAAGCTGATATTAAAGCTGGTCACTATCTTGAACATGGTGAATATGATGGTAACCTCTACGGCACCAAGATTGACTCCATTCATGAAGTAGTGGAGGCTGGACGCATCTGCATCCTGGACATCAACCCACAGGTAAGGGTCCTCTGACTTACTAAACATTGATGAGATTCTATAAACTATTACAGATAAAAGTTCTTTATTGGCATTGCTAGTTCTATGAAGGACCTCCATGGAATCTTTCCATTGCACAAAAGCAGTGTTGGGAAAGTTCACTCTCTACATGAACTAGTTCAAAGTTCAGTTCACAAATTTTAAAATGAACTAGTTCAGTTCATAATTCATACTTCAAAATTTTGAATTAAGTTCACAGTTCCAAAAACAAACTAGTTCATAGTTCTTTTTTCCCGTATGTTGCTACAAGATATTTTTTTAATTATTGTCACAGCCCACATACAACCACAGACAGCAATTATTTTATCAGCGGGCAAAGTTTGCACAGAAATACGATTTTTCCCATCCTTGCCGACCTTGTCATAAAAAACTCGTTTAAATGATCATACGACACTGCTGCATTGTCGACTACATGCTTTTTGTTTTGATGACACATGTGGCGGCCGCGGTGTGACACTAGTGCGACACTGGTGGCTGGTGTTGCCAGATTGGATGTTTTTTTCACTCCATATTAAGGCCTGTTTACGGTGTGTTTTAGGCGGGTTTTCGCCTGGAACGCTCTATAGAAATCTGACACCCTACTGAACGAAGTTAAACTGAGAGAGCATGTGTTCACAGACACCAGAATGAATGCGTGCACAGTAACGTTCATCAGGCAGTAATACAGTACGTTCAGTTCACGTTCGCCCAAAATATGAACTTCATATTTTCATGAACTATCGTTCAGGCACAACACTGCACAAAAGGTTCTTTACAGTGGTGAAAGGTTATTTTGATTCAGACTGATCTCATGAAGTAGCATGTGTATGACACGCCAATTCGTATTTCCATTTTTGGCATGCTATCAACACGCATAACCGCTTTTCAGCGTGTTTATGAACGCCGTTGACTTAACGTTATTACTGTATATATAAATATATGACTTTCCTCAACCTCAACCCCGTCCCTAAACCTAACCGTCACTGGGGTTAATGGCATTTATGACTGTTCCCTCATCATCCTAGGAAAGAAAAACATAGCTCCCCAGATGTAGATGTAGATTTTGCTTCGTTTCCCTCGGACATTTGACGGCGTGTACAGACACGCGGAATGACGCGGACGTTAATGGCGTAGACATACACGCGGATAGCTCAAAATGTGTAGATATAACACGCCACTTGACTCGAAAGTGGCATGTATGTTTACGCAAAAGTCATGATGTCATGTTGTTTGATTATTAAAATGTTCTTCATTCTAAAAAGCAAACGGTTCTTTCAAACCCTAAATGGTTCTTCTATAATCTTGTTTTGACACCTTTATGTTACAGTTTGTATAATTCATGAAAACCAGGTTTTGATTCAGATTTTTTTCCCCATCTAGTCCCTAAAAGTCCTCAGGACATCAGAGTTTTTGCCATATGTGGTGTTCATCAAAGCCCCTGAGTTTGAGGTGCTTAAGACCATGAACAGATCTGGGATTGAGGCAGGAGTGGCGATTAAACTTCGAACAGTAAGTCCCACAGTAGATGTTTACTAAACTTGGTTCTCATTAAAAATGTAGTTTTTGCCATCCTATAAATGTCTCTGTTTAACAGGACGCAGAGCTAAAGAGGACAGTGGATGAGAGTGCCAAGATTGAAAGAGTGTACGGACACTACTTCGACCTCACTATAGTGAACGACGATTTGGAACAGTCGTACAGGACCCTCCAATCCTCCTTAGAGCAGTTAAAGGGAGCTCAGCAGTGGGTTCCGGTTGGGTGGGTCTTTTAGAGCTCAGTATAGCAGCTATTGTATGTTTCATGTGCCACTTTATATATCAGTGCTACCTGGTTTATATCATCAACCTTGTTCCAAGGGTGTACACTGATCGGAGAGATGCAGGTGTTAGTGTGTCTGTGAAATCACCATCTCTCCAAAGACATCCTGATACAAACCTCAAAACCAGAATATCTTGTGTCAGAATTTAGCCACAGACTTTGTCACAAAATCTTTTTGTTTACAGCCTGAGTATTATTTACATTTCTGCTCAAACACATTTTGAAGGTAAAGACTCATTTGTGAATTTTACATACAAAAAATATTAGTCTTAATCTGTTTTTTTTTTGCCAAGTAAAAATAATCCCATAAAGAATAAGATAAATTTACTTCAGACACAACATTGTGTAAGATACAAATATATTTTACTTTAATTAATCTTTAATAATTTGATACCCCATTAGCACATAATTTTTGTTAGTTTAAGCATAAACATAACACACATTTTGTTATTTATGTTTAAATCAATTTAAAAAAATATATATATAAACAATAGAATATCTGAACTTTTGTTCAAAGGTTTAGTTTTTTTGAAAGTTTTAATTTGCAAGAATGGATTAGGTTGGTTAAAAGTAACAGTAAAAACATCTATAATGTTACATAAGATTTCTGTTTCAAATAAATGCTGTTCTTTTTACATTTTCTATTCATCAAAAAATGGGAAAAAAAATGTATCACTGTTTCCACAAAAACTTTCAATATTACCATTTATACTGTATTTTTACCAAATGAATTGAGCCTTGATGAGCATAATAGGCTACTTTCAAAAATAAAATGTTCAAAGGTTTGAACTATAGTATACCATATTCTCCGAAAACAAGTCTTTTGCAGATTTGCAACTGAAGTAAATTTATCAAGTTATGTTTTTTTTTTTTTTTTTTTTTTTTTTGCAATCCACTGGTTAGTGTACATTAATTCTGATGACATAGATGGTAGATGAATGGACAGTGTTTCAGTGAACTATATTTTTTATTATAAGGCTCTATTTTGCTTCAGCTCCTGTTGTTGTGTCCGGCACATGACTTTTGTACAGTTTGTTTCTTAAACATCCACATTACAATGCTTTTTTTTACATGTTGGGCAGGAATATTTAGAAATGTGATCCTATTTAGACACTGAGAGCACACTGATAGGGGCATGATATATAGAATTATAATAATACTGTCCAGAAGGTGTCACTGAATGCAGTCGTGTATTGATTTCAGATGGTTGTTTTTGTAGATGTGTATCAACCATAGTCTGCTATATTTACTACATGAAAATGCGGCAATAATTATTTTTTTTGAAAAGTTGAAGGACCAAACATAAATTTTACACCCTAATTAGAAATGAATCTATGAATTGAAAGCAAGAACAGTGCTAGAGCATGCCATTAAGACCTTTATGTTGATATTTCCGAGGATACTGTCGGTGTAAAATGTTGTCACTGCATGCATCTGTGTATCTGATCTTATTCACTGAACAAAACATACATATTTATTATAATGCTGTATATGCTTATTGGGGGAAAATATCTCGTTTTCTTACAGACAAACTCTCTCTACTTTTTTATAATGAACAAACATAATTCAAGTGCTAATTAATATTCACCAATTTCCATTCATGCCAATGGTATTTGGCTTGAATTCTGGCAGCTATTATTTATTTATTGTTTTTTATTGTTCATATCTAGGTGTAAGGTATTTGGATTTTAGTTTTGATATTGATATTACATTTTCTACATCAGATAATGTTATAAGCTAGAGACAGATACTGTATTGTAGTCTCTCTTACAAAATCAGTGTATGATTAGAATAAGACTACTGTAAATTGCCTGATATCTGAAATAAAATGTTTGGGGAAATAATGTGTGAAAAAATGAATGACTAATGCACAACTTTTCTATCAAAATGAATCTCCTCAAAATGTTGACTGCATTTTATTGGCTTAAAGCTATGGTATACGATGTTAAAAATCGGTCGAGACGGTAGGGAAGTTTTAAAAAACTCATCCCGCCCCTCCACACACACCCCCCTCCCCTCTGTGCTACCTGATCCCTGACGTATGTCACGTTTGAGTTCACGTCGTCAACGCAAGATTAGCAACACATGAAATGTTCTAAACTCCCCACCACCATTATAATACTACTAGTATTGCTAAGGTTTTCAGTAATTGTTATTGCAGCACGCAGCGCATCTTGTTCAAATTCCGATCGGCTCGAACAGAAACCTCGAACAAGAAATATAATTACTTTGAACCGCGATCGGCGATGCTAAACGGCTAACATTCCAATGCCGACCGGCAGCATGAGCAAGTTGTCAAACTGATAAAAAGCCACGTAACACGTCACACCACAAAAGAATAAATAAATGTTTACCTCAACAAAAAGTCATCCGTGTCAGCGTCGTTTTCAGTCCCAGATCTCCCTGAAGCTTTCTCCAATGGTCAATGAAGGACGGGATTTATCCTACTTAGAGTCCGGCGTTCTTCACATTTCTTTTTAATCTCTGATCTTTCCTCCACAGACTTTCTCTTGCGTCCAAACTTTACAGTAGAGGCAAGCAGGGGCCGCTTGCTGTTGTCGTTTATATTTTTATCCATTGCTTTATCCATTGCTGATCTGACACTACTAGCTAGCTACCATAGACAGTCTGTCAGCTGTTTGCTCACGCACGGAGGGGGGCGGGTGCGGTTGGGTTGGAGACGCAAGTGCCAGGCAGAGTTTCAAGTGGAGCTGGTGATTGGATGAGAGCAGTTGACCAATATAAGCTGTGCGGCCGCACAGCTTACATTGGTCAACTTTTCTGCGGCTGTACAGCCAATAGAGTGAATGGATTTTTTTCGTTCTTTTTTCTATTCATATTGTTAGGATTGTACTATATAACCATAACCAGCATCTAAACGAGGATATTAATAATGAACAATCTTTGAATCGTATACCCTAGCTTTAAACCCTCTTATGCAAGTGATATGTGTGTTTACACCTCGTTACATGTTACAGGCAGTGATGTAACGTTAGGCCTACACACGACAGCTTATTCCGATAAAAAGCAGAAACCTTTGAAATTTTATTAACCCTTGTTGCACAAGCTATGCAAATTGATTATACGTGAAATCTCGAGGCCCACAGAGACAGTAGCACCTCAATGCAGAACATGAGATCCACGGGGAGGAGTCGGATCACGATCCAAGGGGTGGAGATGGGTAGGATTAGGGTTGGGTTTAGGGATTAGGGGTGGGTTTAGTGATCAGGGGGCGGAGTTGAGTTAGGTTTAGGTGTATGTAAGGTGGGAGGAGTTGGATCTGGATCCGACTCCTCCCCGTGGATTTCATGTTCCACAGTGAGGACCATCTCCACAGAGAAGGAAATGAATAGCTGAATAAAGTCGTTTCTTAATGTCGCTTGATAAACTTAAGATTGAGCCAGTAGTCACACAAACTATTTTACCCATGTCCCGGCCAGTTTTGATCCTTTAAATGTCAGTTATGTTATCCGATAAACTAGGAAATGGGAAAAAAGCTAGGTTTTTATGTTTCTACAGGTCATTTCCTGGAGTCTTACATTACACATTTTATGGCACATCAGTGTCATTTCTGAGAATATTTTAGTCATATGGTATTATGACATGGGCGTGTTTTATGTTTTAGTTTCCACTTCACTCTTAAGATATAATGTAATGTAGACCTTTGCACCAGTAAACATTCAATTGCAACCCTAAATCCAATCAATTTACAACCCAGACACTTCTTTTATAACATTGTGACAATCATTAAATTACATAGATTACATGACACGAGAAGTGATGACAAAAAAGTATGTTTTGACAGTCTCTTGAGCCTCTTGAATTTAAATAGGCCTATAAAATCAAACTGAAATCTTTTAAAATGATACAGTTTGATTATCATCATGAGTTTGCAGCTCAGTGTTTAAGCTCAAGAAGGTCCCCGGTTCGAGAGTGTTTACATGTTCTTCCCGTGTTAGCGTGGATTTCCTCTGGTTTTCCCCGCACATGCCAAAGACATGCAGGTTAGATGAATTGGTGAGTGCTTTCCCCTGCCTCTGGCCTAAATAAACTGGGAGAGGCTCATGAGCCAAGAAGGTCGCATGAGGAAATAGATCAGTATCACAATGGCATATCAATAAATGGACAAAGAGAGAAACTGGTTATTACAACATCTTATTTTTATTTTACATTAGCTATACAGTTTTGACTGATCAAGTCAACCATTTACAACATTTATTATAAATTTACAGATTTTATTTCACTAAGTCAACAAAAAATGTTTAGCTAGCATGTGCAAAATTTATAAATATCAACTAAAAACCTATATACATTTATTTTTTTTAAAGGGTTAGTTCACCCAAAAATGAAAATTAAGTCATTAATTACTCACCCCCATGCTGTTCCAACCCCGTAAGACCTTCGTTCATCTTCGGAACACAAATAAAGATATTTTTGATTTAATCTGAGAGCTGTATCACTCTTCCATTGGCTTCCTAAGGGACTGGCTCTTGACGGCCCATAAAGTCATTAAAGAAAATGTTTAAATGTTCCATGTGCCTACAGCGGCTCAATTATAAGTTTATCAAGCGACGAGACTACTTTTTGTGCGAAAAAAAACATAAATAACGGCTTTATTTGACTATTCCATATTTATTTGACTTCCTTATTGGCGCATGCGCGAGAACTGAGACGAGGACGATCTCCTTCGACTTGTTACCGGCTGCTCACCGCTTAGGAGTTTTACCGCCCCCTACCGTATAAGATGATGTGCTGATATAGCTGGAAGTGCAAAACTTTCTGTTTACAAGCAGAGGAAGATGCGCGCTGTACATACGCTTTTCAATTAGCGTATTTTCCGCACTACAAGGTGCACTTAAAAGCCTTTAATCTTCTCAAAAAACGACAGTGTGCCTTATTATCATCTTATACGGTAGGGGGCGGTAAAACTCCTAAGCGGTGAGCAGCCGGTAACAAGAAGTGGTCGAATGAGAACGTCCTCGTCTCAGTTTTCGCGCATGCGCCAATAAGGAAGTAATGGAATAGTCGAATAAAGCCGTTATTTATGTTTTTTTCGCACAAAAAGTAGTCTCGTCGCTTGATAAACTTATAGATAAACTTTGAGCCGCTGTAGGCACATGGAACATTTAAACATTTTCTTTAATGACTTTATGGGCCGTCAAGAGCCAGTCCCTTAGGAAGCCAATTAATGGAAGAGTGATACAGCTCTCAGATTAAATCAAAAATATCTTTATTTGTGTTCCGAAGATGAACGAAGGTCTTACGGGGTTGGAACAGCATGGGGGTGAGTAATTAATGACTTAATTTTCATTTTTGGGTGAACTAACCCTTTAACTTTTAAACAAGTTCCTTACGCTACTAATTGTGTGAGGGTTCATGATGACCCTATAAAACATGTTCAAATCACATCTGTGACATTTTTCTCCTCACTTTGCATAGGTAGCATGAGTAGTAATCATTGAAAAAAGTCAGGGCAATCACACTTTTTTTGTCCAAGTGCTTGAGATAGGCTACTGTGTGTGGTGAGGTCATTATTCATGACTGGGAGGGTGAGTTTGAGACAGATTCTGAATATGCAGGAGGGGATTCCAGAGGGGAGGCTTCAGGCTTCAGACATAACTGCAAAATAAATGTTGAATCCTCGTTATCTTTAAAAACATTTCAGGACAAGATTCATTCAATCACGGTGACGTAGATATCCGACAATATCTCCACGGTTACCTCGTGATAAGCCGGAGGGGGCTCGTACTCGTAGAACTGCACGGTGCTGTAGCGCGGCGGCCTGTGCAGCTCGTCTTCAGACATAGAGATCGGAATGACGTACACAGACGGAAGATCCACGGCTCGAGCCTGACCCTGCAGGCGCTCCACGCGCTCCTTACGGGCCCGCTGGAAGAGTTTACACAAGCCAGTACAGCAAATTGTCAAAAATGTAAAGGTTAAGATTGGCGCGAAGATCCTGAAACAACAACGACAGCATGAATGAGGGTGAGTATGTTTGCTGATGTCATTTGTGATGATAAAGAACATAATAGAACGTAACTGAATGGACTTTCTTCGATTTTCACATTTCTGGTGTGATTGTGCAAAATTATTACCCCCCTAGCATTGGTAGGTTTAGGATTAGTTGTGGGGGAGGGGGTAGGATTAGGGGCAGGGTTGGGATTAGGCCATCAGGTAGCCTACTGACTTCAATGAGGGGGGTAATAATTCAGCACAACACCTGTATGAGGAAGCAAACCATAGTCATTTTCCATATCAGGTAGCCTACATAAGAAATGTCGTTATAGTTTTACATTCTCCAAATGATATTGCTTAACAAATCTGGTAATGTGTTTTCATGAATTTCCAAAAAGATTGAAGTCAGAAGAACGTAAGGTTAAGGGAACGTTCCTGGAACATTCTCCTTACGTTATAAAAATGGAACCTAAAAATAACCTACATGGAACGTTCCTATAACGTTCTTGTTTAGTTCCCAAAAAAAATAATCTGATGGGACCATTCGGGAACGTTTGGGGAACATTCTGTGTTTGCTGGGAAGATACACACAAACAGACACATGGAGATTCTGCAATGTTTGGAGAGGATTGAGAGAAGGTATACATACTTTAATAATATAAACGAATCACTCATATCCATGGCAATGAAGAAATGGCCAATTCAGAAGCAACCCTGTAAGGAAATAAATGACATTTTGTGATGACAGCTTTAATTAGTCTGATCAACAATATAGGCCATATACATGGGATATTGAATCATTGTGGGGTTTTCGTTAACTGTTGTAACTCAGGCATTGTCCTATGGCAGACTGGACAGGTATGAAAAAGAAGCAAGAGCTTAATATTCATTCTTTCATCCAACATTTAAGAGGCTTTTTTTATTGGACAATTCTAAATTCATCTTTCAAAATGCCAACAAGCAAAATAAAACCATTTAGCACCATTAATCTGATTAATTGATCTTAGAAATAACTTTTTTCTTTTTCTTTCTTTGGTGGTTTTCTGGAATTCCACAAAATGAGTGTGTGAATATTTAACCGACTTTAACCACCATAATAAACTTTTGTAACTAAATGGGTCAAGATGCAAGATCTCTTGATAACTGGAAATGTCAGTTCAGTATTGAAGACAGATGCAAAAGATTATCCACAGTTCAAATTAAAATAAATCAACCGTGTTGAGGTCAGATACATCTTCTGAAGTAAACACAACATATTGTCAATTTCCATTCGTAATTTGCCATTTGCTGTAAGCCATGGCCATCAAAGTCATCTATCTATGGAATGGCCAACTCATTGGTCCCAAGGGAGATAAAACAAAATTGGTCCCAGACCCCTTTACATTTAGTGAACTAGGCCTATAGCAACTCATGAGGGTCCTGCTTTTTTGTGCTGCGCACCCCTTCAACACCCATCAAGAAACCCTTCTACTGACACTTTTTAAGCATGTTGATTTCTCCTTTTTCACTGACTGTCACGGCAGTGCTTAGGACAACACCTGTCATTTCCATTTCCATCAGAGAATCTCAAAATATAAAGAAACTCTTGACAATATAAAAAAAGTTTTGAACTGTTGAAAACTTGCCCTCAACATTAGGATACAGATCAATATATTTATACAAGCCTGTCACATGTCTTTGATATTCGATACACACTTTATTTATGTAGTAAGTGAATTTACTTCTTAAATCAACTTTTAAACGCCTGACTGAAAAACAAAAGTCTTACCTCAAAGAACGCAGGTGATTACGAAAAAAAAAAACAGACTGTGTGCACTGCTCTGATTTGAGACTGATTCTTATCTGAGGGAGGGTTTATAGCGCTGATAGTGAAGTTTCAACACCTTTATGGTGACTGTTTCCTGTAGATGTACATTTTCTTTGCAGCACTTTATTCATTTCAATCACCACAGAGCAAGTGCTCTTCATTATTTGTTTTTGTTATTAGAAGATACTTTTTCACTTTTTACCTCAATTTATGAGTAAAGAACAGTCATTGTCTCTCCCTGTTGAAAAGGAAAGCTTCGATCAACATGAATTTGCACTGTAAAAAGTGATCAGTTGACTAAACGTGAGGAAAACCATTGCCTTGAAATTATTAAGTAAAAAAACTATGCATAATTGAAAAAAGTAAGTCATGTGAACTTGACAATTCCACATAACTTTTTTTTTTCAGTTACGCATATAAGTTAATGATCAGTGGTTTGTGTTGTTTTGGTGCTGGTGAAGCAGCATGTACTTTCTGGCAAAGATTGAACAAGGCAGTCATCCTATTTAATACAGTAAAGATGCTTGGTGAGGACCAGCATCCAAAACATTATTTGCTGTCTAATGCCTCCAAATCCCAAGAGTTTCTACTTTTATGTGGAAATAAAGAGAAACACATTTAGGTAAAACTTTGGACAGTTTAATATCTTTCATTAACATGAAATAAACATTGTGAAACAGTCTAAAAGAGAATAATAAAAAAAAAGGCTACTGGTACTTATGAGCCAGATAATCATGAATAAACATTGCAAAATATATTTGTCTAAGGAGTGGATAGTTATAATTTACATAAAAGAAATTAAACTTTAGTCCCAGGACTCCCAGGCATTAATATTAACCTTTTATTGATTCTATGGACTGTAAATGCTAACTTGGCATCATGAAATTGTTACTGAATTAACATCTCATGAGCAATACAGGTTTACAATTACAAAACTAAATTATATTACACAAATATATTATTTCATTATTTACTCAACTCAATTTAAACAAATATGTTCACAGAATTAACAAATAACCACCCACCATCTACTTCTTTGTGAACCAGTGTACAAAAAAAAACGTTTCTTAAAATGTTGCACTTTTAGATTATAACTTAAAGTCCTGAGAAATCAATTATCATTATCATCATCATTATGTAAGACCAAAGTACACTTTAAAATAGGAGAGGCTTTGCATGTCCACAAACTCCTCTCCGGTTGGAAACATCAGTCTGCATGTTAGTTGGGATTTTCTAAAACTTGAACATAGCATAAAAGCATTTCAACAGCTCTCAATCAAGTTCTCAACTTGATAAAATGCAAATACATCTTGTATGTCAACTAATTGTTTCACTGACATTCTGGATTCTTACGGCCAGTTAAGCGGTGGACTCTACATAGTTGCCAGGAAAATAACCCTTTACTCCATTCAGAACTCCCTCACACCAGCCATCCTCGCTTCTGCTGGTGAGGTAGATGATGTCCCCCTCCTGAAAGAACAGGTCACCTGTGTTGCCTGTGTTGTAGCTATATAGTGCCACCACTTGGTAAGAAAAAGAGTTACAAGAGTTACAAAAATCAGTCCCTGTAGATATCATGACCAGTGGTGGACAAAATACTCAAATCAGGTGCTTGAGTAAAAGTAATAAATATAATACTCCAGTAAAATGATTGTACAAAGTACTGATTAATGAATTAATGTTATATACATGTATAAGCATATTAAAAACACCACACAGACATACAAACAACATAAAATACTGGATTTTCACCACAAGGGGGGCTTTAAAATAAATACTCAGATAAGCACAGATTTTTGAAAAAAATATTATTAAGTTACTGTCCACCACTGGTCAGTACAGAATTATCTCAGAAACCTAAAATGTCAATATATCATGAATGTCACAAAATGTCACATAATTATGAAATACCAAAGTCTTGCTATTATGATACTGATTAACAATGCAAATTCTTTAGCTCTCTAAAAAAAAATTATTTGACTAAAATTAGTCAACGTTAAGCTTACCTTTCTCCAAATAGTCGGCTGGTGCAGACATGTCGTAATCAATAGGAGGTGGTAAAGGGGGCATATCCTCGTAGTTGTCAAAACCATCTACTGGTGGTGATGGGGGCGGCGCTGGAATCTCAAGGTCTGAATGTGCATCGACACACAATGTTAACACATATAGAAAACACAAGTGAGTGAGTTCTGCGCTACAGGCCACATTAGACAAAATTATGCAAACAATTTTTTTTTTCCACAGGCAATCAATCATAATAGAAATGCATTATCCCTGCGGGGTCCATGTGTTTGCAAAGAACAATGTTTGCAATTCCATTTGTTTACAGTACAAATTACACACTTCACATATAAAGGAATAGTTCGAAAAAAACCCAAAGATAAAAACAAAAATCCATCATATGGCTTCAGATAACTTGGAATATAGTGCACCAGTGTTATTAATGGTTATTCATTATTACTAATACTTTGAATCATCTTTTATTTTCACATTTAACCTTTATGATTTTGTCATTTAAGTTTTAGTGTTTATATCTGAATTTTTTATTTCAGTTTCAGTGTGTTTAGTACTTTAGGTTTTTCATGTAATATTTATATTTTATTTAAACAACACTATAGTGCATAAATTGCATTACTTCTGTCATGCTTTTTGTCATTTTTGGAGCTAACATAGTGAGTAAATGATGACAGAATGATCATTTTTTTGGCTGAACTATCCCTTTAAAATCACCAGACTCATTGGGTTTTCAAAAGAGAGATCTAACTTCGTTGAGGATATAGATCGAGTGTAGATCCTGTTGCATGCCAGAATGGCGTGATACGAGGCCACATTATATGCTGGCTTGGCTCGCTGAAGAGCAGAATGAGGGAAGTGGCAAATATTAAGGAAGAGAAGAGCATCAGACAGCAATGCGCAACACTTACCCAGGTGCTCTAGGCGAGCAGGGATCCTGCACAATGGGCTGAATGAAGCAGGCGGAGCCAGAGGAGGCGGGTATGGAGGGGGTGGGGGTATCATGACTGACAGGTGTTCATAAAGAGAAGTGTGATGAAATATTTAACTAATATGAACAGATTAGAGATGTTTTCATGGGCCAGATAATAAGAGTGATTTGATTTTAACTAAAAGATTCTTTGAAATCTTCGAATGTTTTTGTTAAGTCGTATCAAGAGTTTTGCCATCAAAAGGAGGAACTAGCAATGAACTGTAATGACTCGAGTCTTAAGAATGAGCGGGGCCTTACGTGATTGAGCAGAGGGCAGAAAAAGCGAGCGTGTGTACAGCGAGCGAGCGCTAGGGCCCATGCGGACCCTCAGAGAGAGAGAGCGAGAGCTAGGAGGATGGCGTCGCACTCGTGACCGGCGAGAATGCGGAGCTGAGTGAGAAGAGAGAGACAAGTGTGAAAATAAGAGCATCGAGTATAAAAGCTCACAGAAACAAATAACAGCAACACCAAGATTAAGAGCAAAGGCTGGCTGTAACAGAAAGCAAACAAGTAATCATTCAAAGCATTTTGAAGCATACACAACAAAATACCACGTTTGAACAAACATATGCTTTGATTTGGACATTTTTGTACCTTCAAAGTTCTGATCATCAGGCAGAGGCAGTGGGGTTGGAAGATCAAGGCCATCAGGGGCTGGTGGAGGAGGCATGTCACTGGGAGCTTCTGGTAGAGGAAATCCATTCTCCTCGGCCACTAGACAAAACATTTCTTTATTCAATTCTATTATGCTAAAGAACTTTCTAATTTTGAAACTTTTGCCATTGGATTATTTTCCTCTGGCTCCACTGCAGCAGCATCCATATATGATTACTGACTGGAGTGTATTTTTACTACACACATGCATACTTATAGAACATACTTTCTTTTTATTTATTTTTGTGTGTATAATGTATCATTTTAATTTTTTATTGTTTTTAGATGTGTTATTTAAAGAGTAACTAAACACTAAACCAACCTTTTTTTAGTTAATGATCTGTGAGAATGGATCTTTATTAATACCAGTCATTGATTCGAGTAACTTTTTTGACATTTGTGTATAAAGTGTTGAGTTTGTGCACTTCGTGACGTACGTAGGTTTCAGCTCACCACGCTATTGGTACGAGCGGCAGTATAAAAACCAGCTTGTTTCGGACAGGAGTTGGAATTGCGAGTATTGAAAACGATCAGGATAGAGTGTTTTAGCATCTATTTCGTCCCCTCTATCTCCGCTGGGGTCTGCCCACTTTTTCAGCATTTTTCAAATATTGCCAGTGGGTGGAGTCAGGCTCTGACCAGGGGTTTAGTTACCCTTTAATAATATGTAGGTTAATCTAGTAAATCACACGTTTTTAAGTGTAAGTTCTTCCACTCGCAGCTCAAGTGCTAACCAGTCTGTCTATACTGAATGTGAAACAGCTGAGGAACGTGACACAAACACAAACATCAGATCATAATTATTTAGTGTTTAATACACAGTTACATACCCTTCTAAAGTTTGGGGTCAGTACGATTTTTTTGGAAGAAACTAATAATTCTTTTCAGCAAGGACACATTAAATTGAGTTATTAATGTTACAAAAAAATTACATTTCAAATAAATGCTGTTCTTTTGAACTTTCTATTCATCAAAGTATCCTGAAAAATTAAAAATCCATTTGTTTCCACAAAAATATCAAGCAGCACAACTGTTTTCAGCATTGTTTTGAATAATAAACGTATCTTGAGCATCAAATCATGATGATAGAATGATTTCTGAAGGATCATGTGACACTGAAGACTGGAGTAATGATGCTGAAAATTCAACTTCGCATCACAGGAATAAATTACATTTTAAAATATATTCAAATAGAAAACAGTTATTTGAAATTGTAATAATATTTCACAATATTACTGTTTATTATGAATTTTGTTCAAATAAATGGAGCCTTGGTGAGCGACTTATTACAGTATAAAACAACGTTCGTTGTTAGTTCATGTTAACTCATGTCTTTTAAACAATATTAACAGATATAACTTTTGATTTTAATAATGTATCAGTATATGTTGAAATTAACATTACCCAATATTAATAAATGCTTTAGATTAATTTTAGATTGATAGTACATTTTAACTAATGTAGTTTACTAGTACCGTTAACAAATGGAACCTTATTGTTAACCAAAAAGATCCTATCGACCTGAAACTTTTGACTGGTGTTGTGTGTGGAGCGGCTGGTTAGGACAACAAATGTATTGCTCCTTGCTTTATCATGTCACATCTAGATGGCATATGGCATCTCCTGAAAACTCTGAATGTCCTGCGATGTTGATTGATCTGTCAATCAGCACAAACTAACCTGTTTCAAGAGGTGGAGCTGGTGGAGGAGGTGGTGGGGTGGCTATCAGGCTGCTGGGATCAGATGTATTGACTGAAGCAGGCATGGGTGGAGGTGGGGGGATGTCGGTAAAGTCGAGGGGAGGAGGTGGAGGTGGAGGTGGAGATTGATCAGTCGTCTGCCCGTGTTCCTTTTCACCCTCTGCTTCCATCGGTGGGGGTGGTCCTTCATCCAGCAGCATGCTGATGATGTCACTATCAGGGCTGGTGGGCCAGCTGGGCACCACAGGGGGCGGCACGGCTTTACCAAAGCTCGACCTGCGGTGACGGGAGAGAATTTCTGTTGTGAAAACTGATACAGATGTGACGTTAGGATTATAACCAGGAATGATAAAACACTCTTACGCAATAGACTTGTCATTAAGTGAGGTGACGGACGCTCCATGAGACAGAGTGGGAGCCACAGGACACTGGACAGGCTCCGGGGGACGGCTGCCTCGACTTGATGAACAAACACACACAGAAACACATAGTGAGCTGTCAAATAGTTCATCTTAAACATGTACTTCTGTATTTTATGCAGAAAGCCACTAAAAGGACACGTGCATGTCTCATGTGCTCGTGCTGAGAAACTAATGCTACCACAATGCAAGCCTTGTTGCTTTCAGGCAGTGCAAAGAGGGGAAGTGGGTAGAACAAAACTAAAATCACTTCCTGGAGAAAGGCCCTCTAACTGAGAAAGAAGAGGAACAGAGGCCTGAGAATGAGGGGTTCGTAAGAGTTTATATGATTTCATCAGAATTTAATTTTTTATGAACAACAGAGACATTTTCGTGGAGAATCTAAACCAGAATAAAAGGAGATGTGATGACTAGCATGATAGTTTGTATTAGGGTGGCTGAGGTCATGTGGGCATGTCAGGAGATAAATGTAAATGGCATTCTCACACAGGATGCATACTGGTGATCAAACAACTGGTAGATACTGCATAACAGAATGCAAATTCCTGGATAAATGTTTTTAAAATTAAACAGCATCACAGCACTCATGGCACAAGATGCGAAAAAAATAGCCTGACATTTTCTAATGGTCACAGAATCCCTTAAAGCACATGCTGTAATTCTTGTTATTAAGAATTGTTTTCATTAAAGCTGTAGTTTGCAGTTTTTCCTCTTTGTCGCCATCTCTGTTCGAAATCTGCAATTGCATCATTCGCGGAATTATCAACTTTACGTGAGTTGTACTTCAACACCCTCGACACGGCACAGTGTGGATGAACACAATGTTTGAGGAGAGTGTGAGGCTGTCAGCGAATTAAAGTTCTGAACACTGCTGAAAAAATTATTTGGGATAATTTTTAACCCAAAAAGGCTACAGACTGCAGCTCTAATTGAAATAAAGCTTAAATAAAATACAAATCTTGGATAAAAAACTTAAAATCAAAATGAGAAATGTTTTACCTGGCAACTAACTGAATTAAAATAAGCTGAAGTACTAAAATTACTAAAACTGAAATAAAAATATATTAAATCTAAGTAGAAATTCATATATTTTTGAAATCCTAAAAATTACAAAAAAATAATCCACATTACACACTTTAACTAAAATTCAAATGAAAACTGAAAATATTAAAATAAAAGCAAATTCAAAATATATAAATTCAATAATGGTATTTAAATGATACTAAAATCAAAGGAACAGGCCCTAACATGTCAAACAGATGTACCTCAGTGTGCTGCCGCTCCGTGTCATGGTAGCTGTTTTTAACTGGGGTTGGCCAGAATCCTGAAAACAATAAATCTGATGATCAGCAGTTTGTAGATTGAACTTCATTACAATATCAAAACAAAAACAATCTACCTGTCCACCCTGACTCTTTTTCTATTAACATTATCTATCTGGTTCCCTTAATATCCCAATAGGGGACTTTAGGGAAACCAGTTTGAAAACATTTCATATTTCTGTCATTCTTTTCGATGAAGCTAGTAGCACAGAACTCACGTCAGCTTTACAGGTGAATTATGAGGTACATAAATATAATTATATTTATTTATACTACTGTCCAATTTTTTTTTCAAGGCTTAATTTATTAGCTAAAAACCCCAGTATAACCCAGCCCCCCCTCCTCCCACATTATATTTTAAACATATTTTATTCCTGTGATTTCTATTATTACTCCAGTCTTCACTCTTCAGTGTCACATGATTCTTCAGATATCATAATAATATGCTTATTAACAGTTGTGCTGCTTATTTTTGAGGAAACCATGATACTACATAATTTATTGCACACTCACCGAAAACAACAACAACAACAACAACAGCATACTGATCCCAAGTTTAGTGCTAATAATAAATGTATGATTAAAACAATAACATCTCAAATGAAATGAAAAATTACCTTCTGCAAGTATAAAAATATGTGTTTGTGCTTATGAGTATATGACCAGTGTAAGACTTGGTGTGTGTGTGCTAACGTGATAGACTTTCTGTATGTACGTCACCAGTCTTCTGTGACAAATGCATTCCTGTGAAAGTCTGCTAAATGCTATACAGACCTAGCAGGGTATCAATGAGCTAGCTTAGCATGAGTAGCACCAATTAAAGACTGTAGCTGCTTTTCCCACGCTGCTTAGTGGCTGGAAGCCAAATGTGTGTTTGTGTTCGAGGGAAAGAGTGTAAAGGAGGTAGGAAAAGAGAGTCTGAATGTGCCTTTGCTCTGAGTTTGTGTGCACCGTTAATTTGTCAGACTAACTGTTTTATAACAGGATGTGGCCAAGTGTGTGACACGAAGAGATACTCAATTTTTTTACTATTTTGATTTTGATTTTGAACTGAAATGAGAAATTACATGCTGAAACAGCTAAATGTTATATATTAAAGATTCTCGACACCATTAATCATTGTAACACTTGGTAAATGTAATCTTGGCTTATGTTGTTATATGTATCAAACTATTTATATTTTATACCATAGATCAGAAAATAATACTGAATAGACAAGTGTTCCACACTGTACAATATTACACCCTGGGTTAACATTGTTATTTGCACAGCACGCAACATTTTTGTTCCACTTAATATTATGTCCTTCAACATTACACAATTGTTTCCCCCCAAACACTGAAACTATTCAAGGCAAATGAATATTTAAGCACTAAGGCAGATTCTGGTTGGTTGTCTTGATAATTAACTTACTGTAACACACTGTCTGTACCCACTTCATGAGATTGTGTGTGCTCACCTTCACGCCATGGCCAACAGAGTCCAGGCTGGAGAAAGAGATGGGTGTGCGGGAGTACTTGAGCTTGGCTTCTTTATTTTTTGCAGGGGGGATAATCTTGTGACTGCGTGAAACCCTCTTGGCAACTGTGAAAGCACCAATCTCTCTGCGGGCCACCTTCTCCCTGTGCATGTCCACTGTCTGAGTACAAGCAGAGAAAAGTGACACCTGAAATTCTCCTCTAAGACAATGTTTTGGTATTAAAATGTAGAAATCTTCACAATCGACATGCTACGATATCACTCATTAAACCACACCCTTGAAATCTTGATTCTGATTGGTTATCGCTGCATCTCCAGTCAGATTTTGTTGTTGCTGTTGCACTTAATGATTAATATTAAACATGAAAAACATTTTTATAACACTGTCTAACCCATTTATTTTTTATTAATTTATCAACTAATATTAAATTTAATATTTTGATAACACTTTATTTTACAGTGTCCTTTTTGCATATGTTACATGTAGTTACTATAGTAATACCAGTACTATACAAAACCTAATCCTATCCTAACCATTTGGTAAGTAAGTACATGTTGTTAAATAATATTACTCAGTACTTAAATATGTAATTACACTATAACAATGACACCTTAAAATAAAGTGTAACCAATTTTCTTCACTTATTTTATTAATCATGTATTAGTTCACATCACAAAGCAATTAGCTATTTAAGAACAATTCCGGCGCGAAATGAACCTATAGGGGTTAGTAACACATACCAAGTCGATCGTTCTCTGGGATGTGTTTTCATGATAATGGAGTGTACCCAATTTTAGCTCTAACCACAGATTAGCTTATGAAAAATAAATTGCTAGTTAATACCACTAAGAAGGCTCAAAATAGCCCCGCACACAAACACAGTAGCTTAATGAGGGTCCCTACATGCAAACCGAAGCATTAAGAACTTAAGTGTACAGACAGTTTAATAAGAAGATACTTTATAACGACAGTTCACTTCGCATATACAGGCAGGAGCCATCTTAGGAAAACAGTCAAATCACAGTGGAGGAGGGGTGGGGCTAATACCACACCGACCAACTGTCACAACATTCTTTCTGTACAACGACATCAACCAGCAGAGCTAACCGAACAACATGGATGAAAAATAATTCTTCAGTATGAAACAAATTATCTGCGAAATCAGTTAAAAGTAAACTGTGCTGCGAATATTCTGTATCATAGCAACAAAACGTCTCAACGGTCTCAAGCGCCCCTCAGCAGAGCGTCTGGCGTTTTCAGCTGGCTAAAAACGCTCTGGTGGACACATGGCCTAATGGCATTTACATCCACCACAGCCTACATCTTATTGCTGTTTAGGCTGTTCCAACCCACTCAAACCCCTCAGTAAAGGTTTAGTCTGTGATGTAGGAGGAACTGGAAGCCTCGCTAAGACATTAGATTCTTCCTGAAATACACCAATCTGGCTGTCCTCTGTGGGCCCTCAGATAGGGTAAGAAGCATCAGTATTACTCCAGGCCTGCTTGTTACAGCTCTACTTGGGCACAGGGCAGACAATAGAGAACATCAATCAGCGTTCAAACTTTGCTTCTGAGCGAGAGAACAGAGGCCCTTTCATTCTATGTCTGGGATCTGGCTCACCCCCTCTCAGCCCTGCCTCAGGTGACCTGGTTAGGCAGGCTGGGCACGGAGCGCACTGGAATGCCACAGTGAGAGGAGCCAAGGGAATTGAGGGGCAAGGGGGGCCCTGGTGGCATGGAGTATTATCACCCGGGTGACAGGGGGCCCCAAACAGTGACTACCTACACTGAGCTTTGGGACTGTTCTACAACAGCCCTCGCCACTTTACAGTAGGAAAACAGTCCTCCTTCACCATGAGACCAAGAGCGGTTTTGCAATCAAGCATGTTATTACCATTTTTGCCAAGCAATAATAACAGAGAAACCTTTTTTGAAACCTTTCACGGATTCATGTTTAGTTCAAATGTATGACAAAACAATAGAATCAGTTCTGTCAGGACACATTAGCCAAGCTCACATCAGCTGATCCACGTCTACCTATAGGAATACACTGCCTATCACTGTATACATACAATATATAAGCTCGTTCAGTATTATCAGCAGCTTTCTCTGGAGCGAATTAGCCTCCTCCATCCCCAGTACCTCCTCTCGTCAGTCAGTATGGCATTCTGATTCCCCTCGAATCAGAATAAATTCTCGAAATTATGTTGTAATCTTGTAATCATGTTGGTTTTATTCTGTTTACCCTAAGGGCGGTTATTTCTGCTCTCCCTGCTCTTATCCATGCTTGGAGTCCACAGGGAGTCTCGCCCAGAACTGAACCACACCGCCAACCCAAACTGTAAGCTAATTGCCGATCGTATTTGACGAAAGTGAGAGTGCTTTTTGAATTCAATTCTTTTACTGAATTTAAATTGAGATTGAAAACATGATGAAAAATAGCAATTTCAAACTGAATATAAGTCATGTAAATGTAAAGAAATGAATATAAATGCTGTAAATATATAGTTAATAAAACATAATAATTTTCTATATACATGAACATTATCACAACTATGTCTATAACATATAGGGGTTTTCCAGGAACAAACAAAAACATTTATTTAATTTTTAATTATTTCTATGATGTATGACAATAAGTATTCTGTGGATGTGATAAACATTTTGTGGTGATATATGAGTTGGTGTACAGAGGTAATTGCTTTGACATATTGATGTTTAGAGAAATATTGGGAAACAAATATGTATCAGAATTGATGTTTTGCAAAACTTGTATTGAACTGATGAAATTGAGCTGCAGAGTAGGTAAAGTTATCATAGTTTAGAGACCAAACCTTGTACCCATATATATAATTACTAAGGGAAGTAAGGAACCAGCAAATGCGCAACTTCCATTTTTTAGGAAATGAAAATCGACATTGTGGAACCGACAAATTTCTTAACTTCTTTACACTGATTATAATGACTGTCTCGTGATGATCATGTGATCAAAATAACAAACATGTTCTGAAGTATCTCAATGTTTATTCAACTGAAGCTATATTCCAGTCTCCATAAAAGAAAGAGAGGAAGGGGCCGATACCTGTCCGATCTGGTTGACGGATGACTCTATGTTGCGGAGCTGCAGGGTCTGTGCATCCAGAAGCTTGAGCACATTGGTGGCCAGAGAGCTGATCTGATAAGCCACACTCGCCAAAGACTGAGTAGTGAAGGCCTTGGTTTCCTCCAGAGCTTTGCTGGTGTCATTTCCAGACTGCAGAGGTAGAAACATGCGTTAAACAGACACGTCATGCTATAAACAGGTTCACTTTACTTTGTCTTAATGTACTTTAACTAGCTGTCATTGTGCTGCATGCAATATCATGATCTCATTTTACATCCTGTCGCAAAAAAAAAAACAAAAAAACGGAACAAACGTTTTGTATACAAGACAAGTGCGTTTGTAGCAAAATTCAGTTAGCTACTTTAATTGCCTGTTCTTCTTTTCATTGACTTCTATTGTTTTTATATTGTGCTAATTATATTATTTATACTTTAAGGCTTAATTTTAAGACATTATTATTTTAAGAAATTTCCGTCTCTGAGACCGCTGACAGGTGAATATGTTGTTGTGGGGAATCAGATTTGGTCTCTACTGTAAGGAAGAAGACAGATTGCTTCATCTTCTAACTTGTATGTCTTCCTTCCTGCTGAATTACAAGAACATGCACATTTATATTGAGCAACCTTTCAAATAATTAGTAGGCTATAATGTAAAAGTAAAAGTTCCACAGTCAGCTTCAAACTGTTACAGTTGTACAAAGTGGGAAAGTCAGTAGCTGAGGGACTCCAAACACTCCTCAGGAAAAATAAAATACCATACAATTTGATCATGCAGAGGAATTGTAAAAAATACAAATAAAAATTACACGTTTACGACACGTTTTTAAAGTTGAATTTCTATTTACTTCAGCGCCACGTTTTAAGAACACATTGTCATGCGCGAGACGCTGCAACAGAAAAACAATGGAAAACCAGCGCATTATGTCCCTTACACTTATAATGTCACTTATGTATTACATTAAAATCTTCAATTCCATTCATTAAAATAAGTTAAATAGTTGTTTTTTAAATGACACGTCTCGTCATTTTTAACAGTCTCAAATTGAATCGCGTGTCAGCATCTTACCTGCAGGTAGTTGCTCTCACAATACTTCGCTACTTCGTGTAAATTGTTGTAGTTGTCTAAAAGTGCTTTGCGGGCAGAGGGGGCATCCTCAAGTATTTTCGCAACTTCTTCGCCGTAGTTTTGATCCTTCATTGCGCGGTGGAATGATAGACCGTTGAAGAACAACTCCGGAAACCTCCGTGCGACAGCAGCCTACTGATATCTGTCAGTCAGACCCCATCCGCCACTGCCTTCCTCTGTCATCAGAAGTTCTCCTTTGATGCTGCAAGCACATATCTGCTCATGGGGTGTGCAAGCATGTGGAAACGAGGAGCTTTGAATGCCATTTTATATTTAAACCCCATTTATACATTTAAGCTGCAAGCAATAATTTAGCAGCTAAAGTGACTAGTTCAATAAACATACCAGCATACAACAGTAAGTTACACTTACTGAAGTTTCATTACTGCTACTTTCATGGTGAAAACGCGCCCTCTAGCGATTATATCGATTGTTACCATGTTTCTATAAAAGTGAACTAGAAGAATAGACAGCATTGAAAATCTAAACCCGTTTCACAGTCAAGGCTTAAAAGTCATGAAAACCTAAATCAGTTTGGACAAATTTGGTCATAGCCCAACGGTTTATTTAAACCAGAAAATAAAAAAATAAAAAAACTTTTATTTGGAATAATTATAAAAAAGAACATATTCCAGAAAAATCATTAAGCAGCATATTTATTCAATTTCACATTGTACTTCTCAGTAAACATACATGTTCGAGTTCATACAAATTCAAGTTCTGTTAATATCTGCCAATGTGTCTTCCTTGCTTATCTGCCAAATAAATCTGACTAAGATAGTGATGAGAAACATAGCTGTGATGCCAGTGTAGCATGCAAGTATGAGTTGTAGTGCATAGACAGACTCCGGGTCAGAGATTTGACGCAAACGCCCCAAACGGAGATACACCCCCAGTCTGATCTCTGCAGCCAGCTCTCCTTGTAGCCAGCAGAAATAGAGGCCTTTATCTTTCAGCCGCAAAGGCCTGAAGTGTAGGTGGTGACCCGTGTCAATGAAGATGCGAGAAGTCTTATTCAAACCCTCCATATACTGAGAGCGGTAAAGAGGTGCTGAGCCTTTATCCCAGGCCACAGCGTACTGAGGTTTGGCGCCAGGACAGGTTAAGACCAGATCAGAGCCTGTGGGGTGGTTGTGGTAGTGGATGGTGACACCTGGAGAAGCTTGACCATCATCCTGGAGGAACTTCAGCAGAGCTCGTCTCTCTGGAGATGTTGTAGGTTTCGGAGGGCAGATGGTGTGACAGTTCCTCACCTCAAGCTTGGCTCCGTAGCTACTGCCTGAAAGTCCAAACTGTTTGGGAACGGCTGAGGAACCACAGGAAGCCGCTCCGTCCGATTCATGCTGATAACGTACATGGAGGTAAATGCTTTTGACATAACAAAATCCCACACGCGTCTGCTCCCCCGGGATGTCACAGCGGTCACATTTAGACCATGACGAGTAGCTGGTGAACACTTGAAACATTTCCGTTTTCATCCTGACGGGCTTTGCTTCTTGTACTTGAGTTCTCTCTTTGACATTCAAGGGAAATAAAACTTGATGGACCTCCTGGACATCAACATCGTAGCCGTAGAAGAATTCACCAGAGGCCGTGCCACAGATATAGTGCCCTGAGTCAGCTCTCTGGACCCTGAAGATCAGAAGGCTAAACAGACGGATGGAAAAGCGACTGTGCAGATCTGACCCTCTCCCAACTTTGGATGATTCCACCACCATAGTGCCTTCAAAGTCTGTGAGGACCTTAGTGTTCATGGAGCCTATTTGTTTTTGATAGTACCATACCACTGAATGAGTCTCCTCTGGTTTGCAGTGACAAGCGAGTTCAATGGTCATATGGGCTATGAAAGCCACAGTGTCAAAGACAAGAAATGCAGGACAGGCCCTGCTGGCAAAAATGTCTTTCTTATCCTCAGGAGCCTCATAGGCTGAAAGTAATAATGGGCAGATGGCCCAAAAACAAATGGCCAACACTTCTTTTAACATATTTCCGCTAGTATAAAGTACCAATAAACAAAAACCAACAACAATGGAGTTTTCAATATAAACTAATTTTGGATACCATATTTCCCCATTAATCCTTTAAGTTTTATAGTAATGTCAGTCTTATCGTCCTCCACATGTGTCAGACTGGCCTCACAAACCATTGAAGTGTCAGAAGAATCTTTAGAAGTATGATATTCTCCTCCTGCAATTTGTAGCTTGTGGAAAAGCTCCTCACAGGCTTTTTGTTCTGCCTTACTAAGAAGAGTCTGGTTCAGACCAAAACGACTAGTTCTGGAAAGGCCGTCCAGCACTCCAATCACTTTTTCCTCATCTCCTGACTTAAGACACTGTGACAGAATCAGAAAGAACTCGCCTAGAAGACCAAAGCCAACCTCGGTGCTGAAGATTTCCTGCAGAGTCTTGCCTCCCAGACTCACAAGCAGACTGTACTTTTCAAATGAGCTCCCTGCAAACTTGCGCCAGCCACGGACAAATTCTGAAGCATTTCTTGGCTGTATCTCAGATAACTGCGGCTAAAGACAGAATAAAGTTAGTCATAGTCAATAAGAGGGATGATTTTTGGTGAGATCTAGCATCTAGATGATCAATTTATTCATATGCAAGAGAACATACTAGATCAAAGGCTCACCTGGACCTCTTCAGTTGAAGCACTTTCATGCTTTGACCCAAAAGCAATTGGATTCCACGGCTGTTTTCGGGGTGCACCAGAGATGTCTTTTCTATCAAGAGGCTTTAAGTGAGATGCGAGTACTATGTCCCTGAAATCAAAACATAAAATCTTCCAAATTAAAATATAAAAACAGTTAACGTTACAAGAGAGACAGTCAGCTACCCGGTAAAGATAATGAAAGTGTAAGAATTAACTTAGTAGCCTAATCAATCGTGAATGTGAATTACACAGTACAAGTCAGCAACGCACCTGAATTCTTCATAGCTGGCGACATTTTGGTTCAAAGCACGAAATTTGGCATCATTTTCCCTCTGATATTTCCTGTCCGCTTCCAGCGCCGTTTGTAGCTCTTTTTCAAGAGAGCTGAAATTTATCACATCAGATTTCTCCATACCTGCTCTTACTGCTTACCGAAAAATATGTCCGTAAGAACTAACTCAATTTACTTTTAGAGGGAACTGATCGTTTTATTTACCTCTAAAGTCAGAAATCCAGAAACTTCGTTTAGCCGAAAATGAGTAACGTTGCAGCTAACTTGCTATCTCACGCCTCCACAACAAACGGGTCCATGACAACCACGCAACGCACACTGAACAGTCGCCCTGGAACTTCGGAACTGGCAGAAAGGTTTAATCTCGGATTAGCGAGTTTTATTGAAAACAAATTGCCTAGATTGACAAAATTACTACAACATATAATATATAATTTACAACTTAACAGCTACTTTGAGGATTATTCGTATATTCCATCAGTCTGTTGAAAAAACAAATTCTGACGTTTGTAAAAAAAAAAAAAGTATTCTTATTTTTTTTCAACCAGCGAGTCTGTTGAGAATACAGCATTTTACAAAAGTGACACCCCTCATGTGTCAATATTGTGTATGAGTGATGTAATCTATGTTTTTGTCTGTTTTTTTTTTTTTTTTTTGAAGACAGCTTCTGCATTTGACGCACAGCATCAACTTCTCAACTTTGATTGACCCTTGTGAGGCCTGTTCTGAGTGGAACCCGTCTTGAAAAACCTCTGAATGACCCTGGCCTGTACTGTAACTCAGTTCAGGGTGTTACCAATCTTTTTACTATAGCCTTGGCCATTTTTGTGGAGTGCAACCATTCTAATGCTCAAACGAGTCGTGAGGTGCCATGTTGAACATCCAATGGTCAGTATGAGAGAATTGTACTCGAAACACAAATTTTAACTGATCTAATACAAGATAGACAAATTTGTATGGTCATGTTAAGCAGACCAAAGTATAATGAATAGGACATGTGGCTTTCTAAGGTTAAATGGAGGGGTATCAAACTCAGTTCCTGGAGGGCCACAACCCCGCAGAGTTTAACTTCAACCCTAATTAAACATACCTGATCAGCTAATCAAGTCCTTCAGGCTTATTTGAAAACGGCAAGTGTGTTGAAGCAGGGTTGAAACTAAACTCCAGGAACTGAGTTTGACACATACAGCCATTATAATTTGGTTAACTCATTTTGTTGGCAGCTATTTTGACAAGAATGACTGTATGTTGAGTTATTTTCAGATTCCATGAAATATATACTGCTACACAAGCAGCACATTGACTACTCAAATATATCCAAGTTTCAATGCTACAGTATTGTCCCTTGAGAAGACATACGGTCACTTTCAGGAGATACTGTATATAGAAACTAAATTGACCATTAACTTGTATCTGCTAATTATCTATTAAAAACATTAAGGTTCATTTAAGTTAATACATTACTTAGAAATCTAGTTAAGCCAGGTTTCACAGACATGAAAACATGCATTTTAGCTTAGGACTGGATTTAAGACTTGTCTGTGAAACAAGCTATTAATGTACTTGGATGTCAATCCTCAAGATTCAATATTTCCCATGCAACTGCATTTACCACATGTTGTGAAGTCAACCCTTAATATGCCAAACAAGTCTGTATAACCTCACATTTTGCATTAAAAGGCTTATAAAACATCAACTTTAATCAAAACATTGCAGTTTTAATTGTATAGTCTCAAGGCAACTTCCTGAAATCAACTGAGTGACATGTGTAAACTTTGAGTATTTATTGAAAACAACAAGCCACATTTGAGCTCAGGCAATGCTACCAGCATTGGAAGCAATTCTGGGCCACAGGTCTGCACATTCCTTGGCTACGGGTCCTGTGATAGCAGAGCCTAAAAAGAAAGAAACTATTATAGCACTGCACCAGCGCTAAATCCAGAATTTGAAAACTAAAAATGACATGCATTAAGAAAAGAAGTGAAATGTTCCATCACGGATTGAGATTTAACAGCACATGGCGACTGCCATCTCACCCATTAGCAATGGGATTTACTATTTCCTTCAACGACGACTCACCCAGCCACTGATCAGACAAAGCAAGTGCTTTAAGAAGGATAATGAAAAGATCTGAAATTAATCACTTACCTTTCATTTCTCCTTTGTTATTCACTATGACCCCTGCATTGTCTTCAAAGTATAGAAACACCCCATCTTTTCGCCGATACGACTTCCGCTGTCGTATCACCACCGCAGGATGCACTAGATTAAAAGGGGACATCTGTATAAGCACATATGCTTCTCTAAGCCAAAGCCAGCAGAGTGCAGTTGCAACAGGCTCTGAAAACTCACCCTTTTTCCTGAGCTCTGGCTTGCCTTTCTTCACTGTGGCCATAACCATGTCTCCCACACCAGCAGCTGGGAGCCTGTTCAGACGACCCTTGATGCCTTTGACGGATATGATGTACAGGTTCTTGGCACCTAAACAAGAGAAAATCCACAGGTGAGTGGAGTTAAAAAAAAACTGCATAAAAATCAACTTAATTGCCTTTAGTGGAGTTCTATTTTCATGCTGCAAGCTAGTTTAAAAGACACAAGTCTGCTAACCCTCAGCAAAGAAATGGCCTGCGACAAACCACAAACATTTGTTCCATCACGGATTGAGATTTAACAGCACATGGCGACTGCCATCTCACCCAACAGCAATGGGATTTAATATTTCCTTCTACGACAACTCACCCAGCCACTGATCGGTCAAAGCAAGTGCTTTAAGAAGGACAAACACATACGCCCAATGCTGGAAGATCTCATACCTGTGTTGTCAGCGCAGTTGATGACCGCTCCCACCGGGAGACCCAGTGAGATACGGAACTTGGCTCCCGATGACCCACCACGTCCTGAAGAGACAAAAAACATTATTTTTTTAACAACCAAAATACACCAAATCACATTTCTTTCCATTTAGCAATCCATTATGACATTTCATTTATTTTTAAGTGGCTGACTTTGCAGTCACAAGAAAACTAGTGACTTAAAATTATGCTGACAGCCGTTAACATACAAAACTTTTTTTTTTGGCCAAGAACATTTAGTCATTTACATTAAAACTATTCTGTCCTTATTAAAATGGAAGGAAAGATCTGGGGCCAGTTGCACAAACATAGCCATTATGTTAAGATGGTATCTTAAATATTGGTATGACCAGCTAGCATTAATCATGGGGCAATCAAGTCTACTTTTTTGTCTACGATTTATGTAATTAAATTAAAAAAGGTTATGGACAGGCTTAAAAAAATAAATGTTGACTAACCTTTAAGACTAGTCTAAGCAGTTTATGCAACCGGCCCATGGTGCAATTTTTTTTTGAAGTGATAAAGGCTTCAGTCACCATTCTCTTTAGGTGCATAAAAAAAGCTAATGAAAATGGTGACACGATGTTCATTCCACCTAAAATCCAGTGTTTTCGGCAAAAGAAATTAAGTCAGGTTAAGAACGCGTGAAAAAATTAAAGACGTTTGTTTAAAGGAAAAACTGTTTAAGCCTGCAAAATGTCAAGATGCTACCGACACTGCAGTAAGTTTACAGCACTGAACTGATGTTTGCTGCCTGATACCAGTCTGATTTCATTCAGATACACTTACGAAGCCAATATTTCAGAAACAAGCAAATTAACAATTCGGTTGTCCTGCCCGATAGCGTTAAATCTCCAAAATGTGCATTTCTCAAACACGCTAGCGTGCGACTCTACTCGCCACCATACAGTAGTGTCTACCCGCTTCGCTGCATGTTTAAAGTCTCGCACCTCCAGCGCTTTTACGGTCAATGTAAATTTTTCATAGTAGTTATCATAGAACAATGTTCCAGAACTTGCTTTCGCACAACAAAGTTTGCGTAAGAAGCGTTTAATCACCACTACTGGCTCCACGAGCTTCGGTCTTAGTACTTAGCAAACATGGCTCCGACAGCTAGCGGAAAAGGTACATACTACTTTTACCAACTAATATAATTGAGCATTCACATCAATATATCGAAAAAATAATTCCTATATGGCCAGTTAAACCCATGTATTGAGTTAGGGAGCTTTAGCGTACCTCATTTCAAAGATGATTTTAGATTTCCATGTGTGTTTCTTACCTCTCTTAGACATTGTCGCCGAAAGGGAAAGAGGAAGAGAGAGAAAGGAATGCTGGGATATATTCGTGCGCGCATCACAGATCTCACAGCATCCGGCGCAACTTCATCGTCATTCTCTGTGCATCGCCACCTAGCGTGGCGTATGTCTGCTACTGTATATCGCACTATAATGCATTTCAGTAACTCGAATTATATGAGATACAAATTGATCAAATAAATTGTCGTTAGCGTGAAAATATAAAGTGACGTGTAAGACACATTGACCATGAAACTTCAGTGCGGCTCACATCAGGATACTAACACATTCTGAAATCCACGTTAGTTTTTCAATTAAACGTTTTACTCATATTGTTATAGACCATTTCACAAGATGTAAACAACACTGGTCTAGAAGCACTTCCTGTTTCAGTTTTTTAACACTACATAAAAGCTGGGATAAAATACAACCAACAGAACATTTAAAACTGAATCAAGAATTTAAACAAACATCTTTAAGATGTTTTCTTTACATGTGAAATAAAGAAAACAGTTACAAACTGAAACAGGAAGTGTTTCTGGACCAGTGTTGTTTACATCTTGTGAAATGGTCTATATGCATAATATAATATAATAGGCCTATGTGAATAAACACACACACACACACACACACACACACACACACACACACACACACACACACACACACACACACACACAAACACACACGCGCGTAAATAATTTAAAATGAGAAAATAATGAAGTGAAATAGGCTAACTTTTGGACCTCACTGTATAGTGGGTGAAATAATTACTTTTACAAACTATTCAAAATTACACATTTCACTCAGATATTGCTAGTTAATTTCCCAAATAATTGCAAAGAAATGGCAAGAAACACATTGAATCAATGCAATGAGATGTTCAAACAAGGATTAAATACTCAAACCTTAGGTATTTTAATACATAAAATATATTTCCATTTGACCAGCCCTTTGAAATTGGGTGTTTCACATTGCATGCTCCACTTCCCATCTAAACAAATAAACAAATACATTTATCATCTTTATGGAGAACAAAATTTTACTGGTTAATCTAATACACTATTATTATTATTATTATTATTTAAATCTGAATAAACATTGAAATTATGAATTAAATGCATCATATTGGCCATAGAATAAAACATTTAAAATTCAACAACATGCTAAAAGAATGAGATGGTACAGTGCTCCATATTTAAATATGCTGTATAACTGCATCTTAATATGATACAATAATATACACACACGCGGCCGCTTTGGCCTGACAGTGAAATCACGGCTCTTCAATCTTGATTTCGTGCTCATAAAACATTTCTTATTATCATCAAAGTAGAAAACTGCCTAAAATATTTGTGTGGGAACCCAAACCCTTAGAGGGTTTCGGATCTGGGTCAGGATGGGCGGGGTGGTGAGGTTGGCTAAAGAGGTCAGCATTGGCAGTTATCCCAGCACAGGTTGTGTTCACAATCACACTGCTTGTGCTCTGCATCACCTCCTGCCTGTCAGGAGAGCTGGTGCCAGGCACTCTTCCCTTCATGGGATGGCATCCAGCCTGGGTGAGAACACTCTCTCTTTCTCCTTCTCCTGCTCCTCCATCTGTTTGGATGTTTTGTCGGAGTCAGTGGCTTCATTGTCTCGCTGGCGCTCCTCACAGGTAGCATGAGGGTGCGCCTGCCACGTCCCATCCTGGTATGTGCAGAAACACACCGTCTGCTCATCAATCTCCACACGCTCTCCAGCTGAGATCACCCGATTTCCAGCAAAGCAGTTTGGCCCTTTGAGGAGGAGACAGGAACACAAAGCTCAGTATTTTCTGGGGAATTAAAGCTCACCTAAAAATGAAAATTCTGTCAACATTTAGGCTACTCATGTCGTTCCAAACCTCACCTGCATGACCTCACCTGTTTCTGTCTATTTAACCACTTTTGATTGAACATTTTTATGTTTTGAAATTGTAAAAGTTGTAACTTTATTGGAATGGTACGAAACTTGGTGACTTTTGTGGCGTGAACAGATTTTTTTCTTTCTTTTTTTTTTGTCAAGATTGATGTTTTTATGTTCCACAGAAGAAAGAAAGTCATGCCGGTTTGGAACGACATGATGGTGAGTAAATGATAACTTTTCATTATTTTCATTATTGGGTGAACTATCCCACTATTGCGCTCAAACAGAAATTACCATGTAGAAATTATCACAAATGCATTACGTTTATGCACAATGTCTATTATACGTTTTAAAATTGATACACATCACATACCCATTTCTACATATACATAACACACACAATCTGTCCACCTCTTGCCTTCTGTTGTCAGGGATGGCCTAATGCCCCATAGTGCCTGTGCCATCCCAGCATGCAGTGAACTGGTTCCTATTTATAGAAGGCATGTTGGTAGTAAGCAATCTATCGAACAATTCCATTGCATCATTCTTTTTCCATGACATCACGTAATAAATCAATCGAAAAAAGAGGTGTGGGCTCAACATCACCAATGAAACTTCCTCAATGATTCTTGTTTTGCACAACACAACCTACATGCCTCTCAAAACACTATTGATGCATGTGATGTGAGGGAGTTTGTAAAAACATTATTGGATGCACGTGTATTGTTGCATGTGTAAGGACTCTCACCGCTTTTGCACACAGGACAGCAATGGTTGGGTTCGTATACAGGATTTACACAATGTAAGGCAGGACAGCCGGATATGGTGCAGTAAACTTCTCTGTTGACTTCACACCGGCAACGCTCACAGGGTGACAACTATTTTGCACAGGAACAAATGCCAGATGCATTAATGTAAATAAGTAAATTATGAGTAATTAAAAAAGTAAATAAGCCATTACAAGAGAAACAGACTAATACCATTTAATCAATTTACCCAGTTTTCTTTATCCCACACAAAAAAATAAAGGATCATTGACTAGAGTCAAACAAAACGCAGATATTATACAATTATCATGCAATTAATATTAGCCTATGTCCCAACTTGAAAATAGGCTTGCACATATCCTATACTGAAAAGTATGTAGGGTTGATGGGGACGGGGAAAGATGATAAAGGTCGTTATTACGCTATTTTATATTTTTTACATTGCTGTGATAAACATCAGTAAAGAAAAAAAAAGGTAATTTATTGTAATGACATGTCATTATTATAGTTTCCGGTTAAACCAATGTGATGCATTTGTGAATGCATTTTCCAGCCTAAGAACTTATACGCTGACTCACCCTAAATTCCTCCAGCATTCTGTAAGTTTTGCCTCCATACACACAAATTTTACTGACAGCTTCACACACGGGACAGCACGACTTGTATTTGATGCGCGTGCATCGCGGGTGTATACGCGGGCACTTGGGTCTGACACACACGGGTCCATCCTCTGTGCAGGTGCAGGGGCACGCTGTGGAGCTCGGATAATAAACCTCCCCGATGCCATACACAAAACCTTGATCGTTGATACAGAACTTGCCACGATAGTCACCGAATTCGTATTCCAGCTCGGATTTGGAAGAGTACTCTGATGCGCTTTGTAGAACGAAGCACTGGAGTGCAAACGAGAAGCACAGGACGAGAGATCGCATCGTTACTGGCAGTAAGTTGTGGACTGGTTTGTCTTCATATGCTTGGGTCAGTGCATGAACATTTGCCCAATGACATACACAAGAGAAATGACCCACCTCTAAATGCCACTATTGCTACTGTAGCTGCAGGCAACTGTATTTTTTATGTTCGATGACTATCAAAAAAAAAAAAAAAAAAAAAACGTAAAAACTTTTACGTTACATTTACTTTTTAAAATAATAATAGCATGACTGAGTTATAATTTGTGAATCATTTAATCTTTTTGAATAATTTTAAGACTTTTCCCTGAAATAATATTGAACTGATGGTTGGATGGAATACTGGATACAAATATCTCAAGTGAAGAGCTTCACACAAATGGTGGTTATCGATCCAATCCAAGTGGTGCTCACTCACTGCAGGCTAAAATGACATCATTTTATGCAAAGGGTAATCCAACAGCTGGAAAGTGAGGTCTCCCTGGGTAGCACCTCATTAGCACATCAGTACATGAGATCCAGGGAGCAGACTGGATCTAGATCTAAAGGGATGGAGATGGGTAGGATTAGGGGTAGGGTTAGGGATCAGGGGGTGGAGATGAGTAGGATTAGGGGTGGGGTTATGGATCAGGGGGCGTGATATGTATGGTGGTTCTGATTCTGTAGCGAGGACCATCTCCTGGGGGCCACCATTGGCTAACAAGTCTTCACCATAGACAAGAAGTGGACAGAGCCATCTCATTGTTTCTCAATTCACCTTTGGCTAAGCCCCGCCCCCCTTAGTTACTGTTGCTACATCCGTCAAACTTCATCTGCGCTCTGCATGGCTTATGCTGTAACAGCTCTTCCTGCTAAAATGTTATCAAACTTTTATAAAGCACTAAAAGCAGCAAATGAAGTGTCTGATAGAAGTAGGCAAAATGGGCTGCAATATGCGTTTGAAGGCTATATACAAGACATACAGGTGAAATGCAAGAAACAACAAGGCATCCAAAATAGAGGCAAAAGCATAACGTTACCGGTCACAGGCAAAAAATTAACCACCGCATTTCCTACTAATCGAGACGGAGGCTGGGACTAACAATATCAGGGGGCAACACTGTTCATGCAAAGCTGGGTAGGTCTCTATTCACTTCTATAATCGTTATTACAAAGCAAACGGACTACACGAGTACTGTATAACGTTGTATTTATTAGCAGCGTGTGCTAGCGTATCAACAACCGGTATGAGAACCGAAATCATAACCTAAAACTTTATAAAACAGTCTAACTGGTATAACTTCACACTCACAGTTAGGTTAGAAGTAAAAAAAGATGTGCTTGTTGATCTTTGAGGGGTTTAGCTGACTGAGGACGTCCATACAGTTTCCAAAGACGACACTTACTTCGGTTTTGGGAAGGGAAAAAACGGACACCCCCCTCCAACCTCTCTGGGAAACGCGTATCTGTGTTACAAATGCCCGAAGCACAACGTTTAACCATATTTTGGATAAAACTACGATGGGAATAGCCTGCCGAGACCAAAAATATGAGACGCCTGTGTTGAAAGTCAATGGAGCGCTTGTGAAAAAGTGTCCGACCACTGTGGGAGCTCGTTCTTGGCTGCGCTGTGATTGGTCAATCTACATTCTAGGGTGTGGCTTAGCCAAAGGTGAATTGAGACAAGTGAAGCCCATTTTTAACGATTTTTTAGGACTTTCATTGACTCAAACAGAGCTTGACGACGTAGATGTGAGATGAGCAACCTGTCTGTTTTCTAATGGCGGTGAGGCGGAGAGTGTGAGTTGGAGCTGTCCATAAGTTAGGAGCAGGAGAAACTTTTGCTATAGTATTCTGATGAATTATTTTGTCATTTTACCTCCACGTTTCCCCGATTGCCCGTGGGCTTCTCCTCCTGTCCATATGGTAATCTCTCTATTGTGCAACAGAGAGTCGCGTGGTTATGATGCAATCGTTAGCCTACTTTTACAAAAAAAAAACTGCTTCTATTGGGCCATAACATAAGCTACAAGGTAATGGAGGCTTTTATACATTGTCGTGTTTCTTTAGAAATAAATAATGTACAAATGGAGTCTTCAAAAGCCTCAGGTGTAAAGTTATTCGCTGTCAAAGTGATGCCAAAATGAATGGGAGTCAATGGAAATGCTAACTCAAGTGAAGTTCTGTTACAAGATGATGGCACCTGGCCGGCTTCAACTTCCGGTCGATTACCCCCTTGGTCTTCAACCGCTGTTAGCATTCCATTGACTCCCATTAATCATTTTGACAGCGAATAACTTTACATCTAAGAGGTTTAAAGACTCCATTTGTGCATTGTTTATTTCTAAAGAAACCCGACAATGTATCTTGCGTTATGGCCCTGTAGATGGAGTTTTTGTAAAAAATAGGGTAGAGTTGCTCATGCTGCTAGCTCATGGACAGCTAATACTCAGGATCTCCGGCTCTGCAAGATTCAAAAGGGAATGATTTAGATTCTTCTTGGAACAGCTACTAGAAGACTTGAAATACAACTCGTAAGAGAGGCAATCAATAACTGAACAAAAACAAAGCCCGTCTATGGAAAGCCCTATTGGGTCCTATTGTGCCAAATTTAATAATTCGGGTAATAATTTTTCAGAGGGTCTAAATTCGGCACAACAGTTGCATTAGTGTCTCTTTTATAAATAATACAGGTTGGGGAGCCTTTTTCAACAGGGCTTCACACTTCCATGGCTCTGCAATGAGCAGCCTCTCTACCAATCTAGATTGAATTCATTATCTGCCCGATTAGACTACTTTTACTTTTTCTGCCATCTGCTGGTCAATTTCAAACAGCAGTGGCATGCATATTGTGTCAAATAAACAAACTGTCTCAGACTTAACAGACAAAATTTAGTGATCTCTACCTGACACTGCATTGATGCTTGTCTATGGACTTCTTATATTAAAATAAATAGTTTACATTTTTGTCAAGTTAGGAACTATCTAACAAACATTTCTTTCTTGGTCGATCACAGTAATTTTCAGAACATCTCACACATTTCACATGTGCTAAAACATCTCCTTTTACACTTAACTTAACCAGGAAAAGCTAAATAAGTTCAGGACAGGGCTCTCAGGACAGGCCGCAGTCTAACAATATGCTTATGGAGCACTTTTTACTATCTGTGTCAGACATATTGTTCTGTCCATTGTTCCAGGTGCTGTTTTTTTTTTCCTTTTTCTTTTTCCAGTGTCTGTTTGCTTCTGGTTGATATTGAGAGCTGGATACCTTTTAAAGACACTGACAGTTCTTTTTTTCAGGTTCAAACTGGACTACTTGCATCGTCTGCAGGGAAGTTTGGGAGTTAAAAATTAATTGAATTATAAAAAGGTACAAGAAAAATAAATGAATAATATATTAAAATAAAACTATTGAAAATAAAACACTAAAAAATATTAAATATTAGTTTGGTTACATTTTATTTTAAGGTATCCTATTACAGTGTAATTATAGCCTACATTTAAGTACTTCATAATATGCATTAACTATGTAGGCTACTTATAGGGTTAGGATTAGGTTTAGTTTAAGGTTAGTTGCATTATACATAATTGATAGTTATACTAACAGGTCTAACAGTGACACTGTAAAATAAAGTGGTACAATTTTATTTGTTTACCATGACATGTGACCATTAATGGATACTAAAGAAGCGTGAACGTGTGAATATGTTATTAAATTATTGAAATGTTAACATTAAAATCTCATGGTGTTGGCTAACGTGACTTCAAGTAAAATTCTTTTGGTAAAAAGGTTTTGGCTGACAAAAAAGTTTGGAAATCCCTGTGTTTACACTGTGACCGATTAAAATCGCTACAATTTAGACTGGTTTGATTAGTCTCTTCTTTTTGATTTTTTTTTTCTGTCAACCTAAGCTTGTACCGAAACAAACCTTGCGACTTTATAACTAAACGTTGCATCATTTTATTTGCAATACAATTTCAGCGTATTAGTAAAGATATGCACCGCCCACGAATTTTCATTGGATAATAACACATGATTTGGGTTCTAACGAAAACGATTGGCCTAAACTCTGTTGAATAAATCATGAGGATAAGAAAAACACACATGACTATTGACTAATTTTCTTAACATTTTAAAATAACACTTAAACGTGCTCAGTGACCGAAGTGTAAGATCTGAGTGTGCTCTATTATCAGTTTAGCATGTTATTGTGATACCGCCAGTAATGTGTAAGCGGTGTTTATCTCGACGACGCAGCGGGTTTTAGCCTAGTGGCAAAGAGTAGGGTTGAGCGTCGTTACAGGCTGAATTCAATGTGTTTGTGCTGCATCAGCTTACAACTGTTTCCCCAAAAGCCGTATCGTTTTAAAGATTTTTAGCTAACTTTTAAAAACTGCTGCCAGAGAAATGGCATCATTAACAACAACGGATCTGGTTTTTAATCCCGGGGCCATAGGGTTGTCCGAGTCGGTAGTCCCCGCTAGCATGTTTGCTCCTGGCCGGGGATGTGGCGATGATGACGACGGGGCAGAGTGCTTCGAGGACGACGAGATGTTCAACGGCGAGCCCGTGGATCTCGGCATAGACTTCTCTAGCAAGGTAGGCCTCAAACAGGGGTAGCTTAGTCGGAATGAATTAGTGTGTTTACAAAAAACATATTATTAATAACATGATTACATGTTAGAATTTTTAAGTGACGTTTAATTATGCGCTTTGATTTGCATCACTTTTGTGGAATTTTCACGGTTTTGTCAGCTGACGGCTTAGTGCTTGTAACTGTAAGCTAACCCGGTTATGTTCAACGATGTTTTTTTTAAAACATCTCTTGTCTGTATCATATGCACCCATCGTAGTTCAGTATTCGAATATAGCCTTCTGATGTATCCATTTTTGTGGGGGTTTTTCTGTAAAACTATCTGATTATGGGCTGTAAATCTGTATTAAACCCAATGAATGAAAGACATCTGTGAGGGAAGAGATGACAACAAAACCTGATGAAATATCAACGCATAAACGCAACACAGAGGGTTTTCCCTTTAGCAGGAGGGAGTCACTTAGGAGATAAACAGATCAAAGCATGAGGAAGTGCATTTTACACCAATTGATAACTTTTATTTATGGTCCTAAAGTT